CAACAAAGAGCTCAATATGAAATTTTAGTACCATATTGTACTTTTCGTACAAATATAGGACGTATTTTCAAATCACTGCCAAATCTTAAAGAAAAAAAAAAATTCAGCAAATAATCTAAACATCAAATATATTACCATTTAGTACTTTTCGTACAATTATAGTACGCGTTTCCGAAACCACCTCCATATGCCCAGGCTACACATAAACAGCGAACCTAATACCAAAATTCAGATTTCAAACACTATACTAATATAGCATTTTTATACCCTCAGCCATTTGTCTAGAAAGGGTATACAGGGTGAGATGAAAAAACTGCAACCAATTTCAGACTGCTGACATTTCTAAGCCACTCGTCCGGCAGCTGTTAAAATTATTCCAGTGACAGCTCATTATATTGTTTACAAGCGTACAAAAACATTTTGGTGAGAATTTTCCAGAAAAATAGTTATTCGTGATGGAATTCAAGCGTGATAGTGTGATTTCTTCAGATATTTGGCTGGAAAACCACAAGTGGCAAGGCTGTCGTTAGAGCACTCCAGCATTTAAATGTGAATAAATCTTTTGTGTCTCGTACCGTTACCGTGATACTGGTAGCGTAGCCCGACGTCAAGGAAGTGGACGGAAGAAAACAGCAACATCAGCAGAAATGCTTCGAAAAGTAAAGAAGCGACTTGATCGAAACCCGCGTCGCAGTGGCCGAAGAATGGCTCGTGAGCTGAATATATCGCAATATTTCATTCGGCAAATATTGAAAAATGAGCTCGAGGTAAAGCCATTGAAGTTCCAAAAAGTGCAAGAACTTAGACCGCGCAAGAGAAAGAAAATAGACTCAAAAGAGCTAAAAAGTTGCTTGGCTTGGCCGAAAGTCGTGAACTGCCGAATTTGGTTTTCTCCGATGAGAAAACATTCGTTGTTCAGCTGTTTGTAAACAAACAAAATGATCGTGTTTACTTGCCAAAGAGGTCAGCTGAAAGTGTGAACCTTCGGTTGGCCATCAGAACTCAAGCACCGGCCATGGTGATGGTGTGGGCCGCCATAACAGCAGATAGTTGCTCTCCGTTCGTATTAATCGACCGAATATTATCGCGAATATATTCTACAGGGTGTATTAAAGCCTTGGGCACACAAACATTTTGGCCACAGTCCTGGGACATTCCAACAGGACTCAGCACGCGCCACCCAAGAATGGTTACAAAATGAGGTTCCACGCTTCATATCCAGCGCACAGTGGCCACCAAAATCTCCGGATACCAATCCGTTGGACTATTGTGTCTGGAGTGGATTGGAAAGCAAGGTTGGCACTAAAAACTACAAAAGTGTCGATCACCTCAAGCAAGCGCTTCGCCGGGAATGGGCCAAAATACCGCAGAGCAACATTCGGGCAGCGTGTGATGGTTTCATTGGCCGTTTGAAGGCCGTAATTCGTGCCAAAGCTGACAAATTCGAACAAATCTAAACTTATTCTAAAATTTGATGCTATTCCCGACATTTATTGCATTCATTTAATGAAATTAAAAAAATGTAAAAAGTATGGCGTTTGACTTTGTTGCAGTTTTTTTTTTAATATCACCCTGTATGTGTAAGGTACCAGATATAGCGGACCGAAATATCCACTTCATCTAATGCAGATAAAAATATTGGTACGCACAAAATTTAAAGGAAATCGATCATTTATATCCAATTTTATATGAAATCATATATTCATATTAGATTTCTGGCGAAGGGAAATATTTAGATATAGCAAGTTGTATAGAATCGCCGAGTTGTTTCACAAGTTAAGACCATTATAAGTATTGGAAATTGTGGCCCTTTGTGGGTGAAGTACCCGGAAGGGTTTGGCAGATATCTATCATCTTCACAACAGATTTTGGGTTAGCAAAAATATTTGGATGTGTGAAATTTGGAGACAGTTGGATGCTTATTTCAGATTTAATGATCGTTTTGATTTTTCAAAATGCTGACCCTTTGTGGGTGGAGGTACCAGAAGACATGGACCGATCTCTTCCATCTTTATAACAGATCTTGTGTGGATGGAAATATTGAGATGTACCAAGTCTGAATGGAATCGGATGTTAATTTCGCATTTTATGAGCTTCATGGATACTCGAAATTTTGACCCTTTGTGGGGAAGGTGCCAGAAGGAGTGGATCGATCTTGTGCTTTACAGCAGATCTTGTGTTAGCAGCAATAATGGGAGGTGTGAAATATGAAGAGAACCGGATGCTTATTTCGGATTTTATGATCGTTTTTGGTATTCAAAACGTTGACACTTTGTGGGTGAAGGTACCAGAAGGAATGATCTGATCTCTACCACCTTTTTAACAGTTCTTGTCTTGATGGAAATATTGAGATGTGCCAAGTCTGAATGAAATCGGATGTTAATCTCGCGTTTTACGAGCTTCATTGATATTCAAAATTGTGACCCTTTCTGGGAGAAAATACCAGAAGAAGTAAACCGACATATCCCATCTTTATAGCAGATCTTGTGTTAGCAGCAATAATGGGAGGTGTGAAATATTAAGAGAACCGGATGCTTATTTCGGATTTTATAATCGTTTTGGTTATTCAAAACGTTGTCCCTTTGTGGGGGAGGTACCTGAAGAAATGGTCCGATCTCCTCTACCACCTACATAACAGTTTTTGTCTTGATGGAAATATTGCGATGTGCCAAGTCTGAATGAAATCGGATGTTAATTTCGCGTTTTATAAGCTTCATGGATATTTAAAATTGTTACCCTTTGTGTGGGAGCTACCAGAAAGATTGGACTGATATATCCCATCTTTACAGCAGATCTTGGCAGTTAGCAGTAATAACGGGAGGTGTGAAATTTGAAGAGAACCAGATGCTTATTCGGATTTTATGATCGTGTTATAAAAACCCGCAATATACAAATACGTTTAAAAACAAAACCCTTCAATTTATTGTACGGAAAGACTACAAAAAACTAAAAAAAATCGACGATTTAAAACAAATATTTAAAAATTGATAAATTAGGAAATATTTTAAAAAATCCACGATCTGAAAAATATTTGAAAATGTTTTTGAAAAGAACCCCGAAATTTGAAGTCCTATTCAATGTTAGCAAACATATTATGATGGACCAAAATTAGACCAAATCTAAGTATATCATTCGTGAAATCGGATTCATTATTTTTGAAAAAAAATGACTTTAAGAGGTGAGACTTTAATCTTTAATCGTTCTATAAATTGAGGGACCATCGCACTTCAACTTGGGTTGCTTAATAACGATCCCCTTCAAAATACGCCCATACCAGGAAAAACCTGTCTGGAGCAAAAGTCAGTTTTTGGACAATCGAATTTGTGCAAGGAGTTAAAAATTCGATTTTCGACGTTTTTGTCCCAAAGCAAAGTCGATTTCAATTTCAGCTATTTGATGTGTAGTTTTATGAGCTGGTTTTTTACTTAATTATACCCTACACCACAAGGTGGTCAGGGTATTATGTCTTTGTGCATTTGTTTGTAACATGGAGAAGGAAGTGAGATAGACCCACAGTTACTTTTGATGATCTGCATAGAATCACATTCTGAGTCGATTTATGTATGTCCGTCCGTCCATGTATTTTTGTAAACAAAGTACAGTTCGCAATTATTGCCTATCCAGATGAAATTTTGCACAAATCATTTGTTTGGCCCAAGGACGAACCCTATTGAAATTGGAGATAATCGGTCAAAATTTAGATATTGCTCCCATATATATCTTCGTCCGATTTGCTTTTTATTGTGCACCAAATGTGTAATATCAGCCCGAATAGTATGGAATTTTGCACGTACGAACAGATTGGACTTGAAAATAAGCATGCCAAATTTGATCGAAATCGGTTCAGATATAGCTATAGCTCCCATATATATTGTTCATCCGATTTGTTATTTTTGTCCTCCCCAGCCGTAATATGCACTCTGTAACAACAATATTTGGGGAAATATATCAAATGCAGATCAGAAATACATTTGCTTAATTTTATCGAGATCGGTTCATATATGGATATAGCTCCCATATATAACTTCGTCCGATTTACCTTTTATTGTGCACCAAACGTCTAATATTTGCCCAAATGGGATGGAATTTGGCACTTACGACGGAATTGAGTCTAGAAGCTAGTATGTCAAATTTGGTGAAGATCGGTTCAGATATAGCTATAGCTACCATATATACTGTTCATCCGATTTGTTACATTTGTTACCCACAGCCGTAATATGCACCCGGTACAAAGATATTCAGGGAAATATATGAAATACAGCTCAGAAATATCTCTGCCAAATTTTATCGAGATTGGTTCATATATGGATGTAGCTCCCATATATATTTTTATCCGATTTCAAATTAATTCTGCACCAAATGGGCAATACAAGTTCGAATTTAAATGATACAAGTGCTTCGGCATATTTAGTCCTTTGAACTTTAAATTATAATTGTAATCATAGCGTGTATGATTGAATTCTCTTATAAAAACTTTTAATTGTTATGCGCAGCTCTACTAAATTAGTAAAGTGGTGTAGGGTATCATAAAGTCTGCCCCGCCCGACTTTAAGACTTCCTTTACTGGTTTTTAATAGAATTTGCCAGCTAATAAACATTAATAGTAAAAATTGTTAATGTATTTAAACAAGTATCCTAAAACTGGTGTCTGGTATCTGGTAATTAGAATAATTCCCCTTTAAAGGTAGGTCAATCTGAAAAAAAGTATGTATTTTTGATTTCTAAAAAAAAAACAGCTTGGCTATAACTTGGCTTGGATTTTGCATTTTGATTGAATTACTAAAAAAATTAATGCAATTCTAAAAATTCCTAAATTCCTAAAAAATTAATAACATTTTAAATATTAATTAGAAAAAAAATAATTTTTACAATTTTTGTTGTTGACATAATTGTTCGAACTAAATCCCATTTTTGTGTGGCATTTTTGATTGATGTTCTGTGTTTAAATCATATGTTTCTTTAATGTATTTTTTAATAACCAATTTTCCCTTTTCATTTAGGTCTTGACGCTCTAGTTCGTGAATTCAAATCGGGTAGGGTAACGCTGCGTCGCAATCGCCGCAAGACCCATACCAATGAAGCGCTGCAGGAGATGTTCCAGGTTTTGGAAATAAGTCAAAAACAAAATCGCAACTCTCAGATATGTGTGGATTTGAATTTTTAAGTGTAAAGTGACCGATCAACCGACCAACGATAACCATGGCTTTATTATAAAGAAATTCCATTTTAATTTTTTTTTTAAATCTTAACCTAATAACCAAGCTGCCGGCCCCCAAATAAGTATTTTTTTTGAATTATATACAAATGTATTTTTTTATTATATTTTTTTTATTTTAATGGACTGCAAGCTAACGCTCAAAGATCTTTTTTTTTAAATTATTATAATTATATATTTACATATGAAAATACACATACTTATATATCACATTTGTTATACACAATTTATATATGCACTTTTTTTATTATAAATATTCATATTTTTAATGTTTAACATTAGGGTGTCCCGGAAAAATTCTATAAATTATTTACAAAACATAGCACGAAATATTTTTTCTTAGTCATCGAAAATTGTTTGAAAAGAGCATTAAATTAAATTGAAGTTGTTATGAAAATAAATTTTAAAATTTTTGCTATGATACAGTATTATTTATCCAAAAATGAAATGCTTCAAATATTTTGAAAATACTTATTTCATGATTTCCGAACATCACATGACACTGTAAGTTTACTATAAAAACTTCAATATTTAAAAAAAATTAAAAAACTTAAATTTTTCTTAAATTTTCTGAAAATACTTATTTCATGATTTCCGAACATCACATGACACTGTAAGTTTACTATAAAAACTTCAATATTTAAAAAAAAAAAATAAAAAAACTTAAATTTTGAAATTTCTTAAATTTTCTGAAAATACTTATTTCATGATTTCCGAACATCACATGACACTGTAAGGTTACTATAAAAACTTCAATATTTAAAAAAAAAATTAAAAACCTTATATTTTGAAATTTCTGATTATTCGTATTAATTGTAAAAAAACTCATATTTTCATTTGCGTGTTCTAAATCCAAATTCCATTATTGAAGTGCCTAATGAATGATATAAATCAAAAAATTATTTACATAATTTGGATATCAAAATTTTTTAAAATTTCCTCTTAAATCCAAAATCTGAAAACCCATTAGCGAAGTGCCTTATATATAATATTCTATTAAATATTATTAAAAAAATTTGGATTTTGAAATAGTGGACACCCTTCTAGGACACCCTAATAACTCACACATATACATATATTAAACTACTACCACCACCACTATATTATACATATATATAACTTCCATATATATACCCAAAAACCCATATTGCAATTATATTTACTTATTTCGTTTTTTTTTTTTTATTATTTTGTTGCAACTTTTTGAAAAAATGTGTTCTGAAAAGTTTTTTTTTCTTCAAGTTTTTGGTTTTTTTCTGCTATTTTGTTGCATTTAAAAAAATAGAAACGCTTTTTTGGCATTATATATATATATTTTTTTTTGAAATTTATTATTATTTTATAATACCTTAAATAAAAAAAAACAGAAAAACATTTTTTTGAATTATTTGAATTACTATTATTACTAATCCAATTTTGTTCCCAACTCTTTATATTGCGTTAATAAAAGTTAATCCCAAATAATCTTGTGGCAATGTCTTTTATTTATCAGGGGAAAGACAGAGATAAAATACTCATTACAAAACGGACTATAAACGAATGGCACAGTGAGCAAAATCGAAAAAATAAGAACGTATTTGATCGAACACATGTGCTCTGTTTCAGAACCTGTAATAAATGTATAAATAAATGTATAAATGCTACACAAAAAAAATGTTAATCTAGTAGGTTCTCGTAGGTTCTGAAATAAAACAATAACAATAAAGACCAACGTTTTTTTACACATTTCATACGAAATATTTAAAAAAAAAAGTTCGGTGGCCCTACATGTAATCCAGTCATTATTTTTGTTAGGAAAACAAGTAAAAAAGCTATAAGTTCGGCCGGGCCGAACTTTGAATACCCTCCACCATTTGGCAATTCTCAAAAACAATAAAATCCGTTAAAAATTCTATTAAAATCTTAAAAATACCGAATGTAGCTGTTATATTTGGGGTCTATACGACGACATGAACCTGCATAGGTAACATTTGTCATAAGCCATTAGAATATTCAAATGCGAAACTTAAAAAAATTGGTGAATAATGTAGCTAAAATCATTAAAGTACCGAATAGCGGGAGCTGCCGTTACATGGGGGCTATACGAAGACGTGGACCTTGACAGACAGTTTTCTGTCATAGGCTGTAGTATCTATTACGAACTTCAAATACCAAATTTGAAACAATTCCGGTGAATAATGTCGCTAAAATCATCAAAATATTGAATATGGGTAGGTACCGTTATATGGGGGCTATTCGAGGATGTGGTACTGCACAGACAATTTTCTATCTTAAGCTATAGTATCCATTACGAACTTCAAATTCCAAATTTGAAACAATTCCGGTGAATAATGTCGCTAAAATACCGAATTTATACGCAGACGTGGACCTGGACAGACAGTTTTTTGTCATAGGCTGTAGTATCCATTACAAACTTCAAATACCAAATTTGAAACAATTCCGGTGATTAATGTCGCTAAAATCTTCATAATACTGAATATCGGGAGGTACCGTTATATGGAGGCTATACGAAGACGTGGACCTGCACAGACATTTTTCTGTCATAGGCTGTAGTATCCATTACGAACTTCAAATACCAAATTTGAACAATTCTGTTGAACAATGTCGCTAAAGTCATCAAAATATCGGGAGGTACTCTTATGTGGAGGCTATACGAAGACGTGGACCTATACAGACAGTTTTCTGTCATAGGCTGTAGCATCCATTGCGAACTTCAAATGCCAAATTTAAAACAATTCCGGTGAAAAATGTTGATAAAATCATCAAAATACAGAATATCGGGAGGTACCATTATATGAGGGCTATACGAAGACGTGGACCTACATGGCCCATTTTCAATATCAAAAGTCCTGCAGACATAATATTTGAGTAAAATTTTATCAATCAACTTCATTTCGTTCGGAAGCTAGCACTCTAGCTCTTCCACAGACGGACGGACATCGCTAAACCGACATAGAATTGTATGCTGATCAAGAATATATATCCGTTGTGGGGTCTAAAATGTATATTTCGAGATGTTACAAACGGAATGACAAACCTAATATACCCTCCATACTATGGTGGAGGGTATAAAAATGCACTTCCACAATTCGCCAACAAAATGTGTGTTTCAAAAATAATATCAAAAAATGTCATAAATTTCACTCCTTTACCAATCCAATCGACCACTCAATCGACCCATTACCCTGAGGTGTACCAAAACGGAAGTGAAGTACCAAATTTTTCTTTCGTTTACTGTGATTTTTTTTTTACTTACCATTTACAGCATTTTTTTGCTTTAAATCTTTAAAAAGCGATGAAATTGCATTTACGCCTCAAAGTATGCTTTAAATTTCAAAGTTGTTGAATAACATTGATTGATGAAAGGGCAACACTGGCAAGTAGATGATTACAGCGCCATCTATTGAAACGCATGATCGAAAACAGCAGAATTTTTTGAAATCTTTTAATATTTGACGATTTTATTACAGTAAAACCTCAATAAAATGATTTATTATTTTTCTTGAATGGGAGTAAAAAATTGAGTGAAATATCAATAATTTATGATTTTATTGAGTGTATTGACAGTACTTAGAATTCGGCGTGTTCGGTCACCACAAAATATTTAATAATATATGTTACTGAAATATGTCTGGTCAAGTAATTTCTAAAGTTGAAAAAAAATTAAATTTGAAAATTATTATAATTTTGCAAATTTTAAAAATTATGAATATTAACAATGGTTTTATTTACTAGATGAAAAGATGTATTATTTAGTATGTGTTATTAAGAGATGGGATCAAATTCTGTGATTCGAAATAAATTTTTAAATTCAAATTAAAATGATAGTACAACTGGGATCTAAAGGTGTAGATTTATAAGCCGTTTTCGCATGGCACATTTTTTGACATATCATAAAGCGATGGCAGAGCCGCACTCAAATCCTGCCGTCGTTTCCCAATTATAATTTGACATTAATATGACTAGCTATGATGCTATTGTAGTTTTGAAAAAGGTATGTGGTTTATTTTTTGTTTTTCTTTAATTATAGGAAAACCTCTATGGACCATGAAAATATATCTAAAAAATGATATACACGTGCATTGTCGTTTTGGAAGTTTACATCTAAAACTAAAGAGAGGAGACTATTTGTCTCCTCCACCACAAAGACAAGAATATTATTCATCAAATGTTCATTGTATATCAAAAAAAAAAAAAAAAAAATTGCATCAACGTTCACAAAACCAACCAAAAATATTTTATTATTTTTTGATCATATACTTTCGAGCTGATCTATGACAGTAATACAAACATTTGTTTGCTAATTTATCACCAAAGAAAAAAATCTCTATTTTCATTATATATCAAGAAAAAATGTGAATTTCAAAAAAAAATTCATATTTTTCTAGTTTAATAATTTTTTTTTTTTTTTAGACAAAAGGTGTCAAAAGAAGAAATATTATATACAAAACTTCACTAAAATCTTTAAATAAACCATACATCTACGTTTTATAGTTTTGAAGAAAATTACAATCGAAATTACTAAATTTCCATGTTGACTGATTAAATTTGATTTTTTTTTGGAAAATGTATTAGGACAGCCAACATTTTTTTGACATTTTTCGAATATTATTTGGATTAAATTTAAAAAAAAAATGTTCAAGTACGTCCGGGCTAAACATAAAATGTAAATTTTTCATGAATATCTTTCCGTACAAAATTGTAATATATATTATGAATAAGTATATATTTCTTAAAAAAACTAATTTATTTCTTAAAGAATACTTTTTAAAAATCAATCTTATTTTTTTGTATTTTTTTAAAGCACTTCCCGACTACACATCAACAGTGGATTTTTATAGTCATAATTAAGAAAATGTTCAAGGCATTGGGCTCAAAGAGTGCCTTCCTGAACAAAATATTGAATTTTAAAGAATTTTTTCAAGGACCTTTTGACAAAACATCATGTATTTTTAGAAAAATTCTAACTAATTTTTCTAGTAATATCCTGGAAACGAAAATTTTCGAGAATTAAAGCGAAAATGTATTAGGGTGGGAAATCATTGATTAAAAAAAAAATAATAAATAAAGACACGTTACCCTTTTTAATCTTTTTAAGTAATATCATGCATAAGAAAAACTTAAAAAAATAAGAAAAACTTTAAAATATCATGGATGCAAAAAAAATTTTGGGCTTTCTGATTTTTGAGGAAAAATTTTTAAGAGGGAAAAATTTGTTAGTGTTAGGAATTATGTTGTTTGGAAAAAATGAAGGACGTGACAATTTTTATATATATTTTTTTAAGTAATATCATGCATAAAAAGTTCAAGGACTTTCGGATTTTTTTAGGAAAATGATAATAAGACCAAAAATATTGAATTTCACCAATTTTTTTTAGTAAAATCATCGATTCGGAAACGTTCGACGATTTTTGAATTTTTGGGGGAACGGATTTTTAAAGGGAAAATCTATTAGGGTTAAAAATCATGGATTTTTGAAGAAACATTTCTTAAAGACATGTTACCATTTTTATTAATTTTTTCAAGTACTTTCTGATTTTTTAAGAAAATTTTATTGAAGACATCTGAATTTATTCGAAAAATAGAATTATGGAATATTGAAGGAAAAATTTCTTAAGTATATCTAACCATTTTTTTAATTTTCAGTTTTAAAACTTAATAATTTTTAAAATTTCCTGGACAAGAATATTAGTTTCTTTTAATATTGTTATAAGGATTTCCCGTTTTTAGACCCAAACAATGCTTTGCAAACCAAAAATATTGAATTGAAAAAGATTCTTCCATTTTTTTGTATTTTTTGTTATTTCCCGGCCAAGTGGTCTGATAGATGGACGTATATGACTACATTAATTTCAAATGTTCAGCAATGGATTTCGTTCAAAAAAAAAAAAAAAAAAAAAAAAAATACTGGTCATACAAACAAAGAAAAAAAAATAGTTTCTTAACACCATATCATTATTATAAATTGTCTACAATTTAATGTTTGAAATTTTGTTTGTTTATTTTAGTTCCGGTGTCTTTTTAGAAGGCGCAGGAATCTTGTATTTATCAGCGTCAGGGTGTATTTTTTATTTCCATAATACAAACACGAAGAATTTATTAAAACTTATTAGTACATTCCCCTTATATTATTCTTACCTTTTGTGTGGCTCATATAAAATAAAATAACGTCATTTTTTATTTATTTGTATAAACATTAAATTTATTTCCTAGAAAAAAGATCTTAATACACACACATATAAAATCGTATATATATGCTATTATTATATATGTATAGGTAGTTATGTGCACTCCTGTAAAATACACTTAAAAAATCTTTGGCCATTTATTAAATAAAGATCCAAAACTTAAAGAAAAACTGAAAATTAAAATAAGGACAAATTAAATTTAATTGCATCGGTTATACGAAAAAAAACCATGACAAGAGTTACAACGATGATGACTTATAACAGTTACATAAAATTATTATTATTTTATTTGAAATGCTAAGAAAGTTATTATCCAGTGCACGAATTAAAATAAAAAAAATAGATTAATATTTTAAGGGGATATTGCAAAGGTAAGTAAAAATTAAAATATAAAAATAAAATTCTAAAAAATAATTAAAATAGGTTTACTATAAAAAAAATTGAAAAATAATATTGCCGAGGGTTTTGGAAATTATGTTTTAGTTTAAAATCGAATATCATCATTAGATATAGAAATTTTATAAAAGAAAATCCAGGTGTAGTTTAAAATCGAATATCATCATTAGATATAGAAATTTTATAAAAGAAAATCAAGTTAGTGGTTGCATATTATTTTGTTTCGAAAATAATTGACTTAATTCCTGATTGGTTGTTTAAATTTTTTGTGCGTTATAGTTATTATGCGTTTTTTGTTTTTTTTTATTTTTTTTTTTGTTTCGATAGTGGCACTTTTTTCGTTTTGATTTCATTAAAAAAAACAATTTTTAATTTATTTGAAAAAATACTCACAATAAATAACAAAATACTGAGTCAGTCAGTACATTTGCTTATTTAATTTTCTAAAAAAAAATTACTTTTTTAATTTTTAAAAACTAAGTTGTAATGTATGTATATATCTTTTTTGTTTTTGTTTAGAATGACACGAATTATTTCTTTTAAAAATAAAATATTTAAAAAATAGGAAGACTTGTTTTTTTCGTATTATTATTTTTTTAAAAAAATAAATTGGAAATTATTTAAGAGCGTAAAATATCAAAGTGAAATGTGTTTTTAAGTTTTGTTTTTTTTTTTTTTTTCGTTTCCTTGTTATATTGTTGTTAAAAATATTTATAGAAAATACCTAAATAATATCATTATAAAAAAATATATTAATAAAAGAAAGTTAGAGTAAATTAAATATGTAGTAGCGATAAAAACAACTTTTCGTCAATTCACCTTCGTCTTGAGGGGTTGGTCTCATATAGCATTTTTTTTTGTTGTTAATTTTTCTTTTCTGTGCTAAAAAATTCCCAAAGATTATTATTGTTGTTATTACTTTTTTTTTGGCACTTGTTTTCTTTCTTAATTTAATTCTCGTTTAAGGGTTTTGAATCCCTGTTGAGCAATTGATTTTGGTTCTTTTTTGAATATTTTTCTATTATATATTTTTATATAATATATTTTTCTTTTTGTTTCTGCTTTGTTTTCTATGGAATGTGTTTGCTATTCCTCGATGGCTTTGGCGGTGGTGTCGGTGGCCTCTTTTTATCATCCAACAACACACTGCTCGAGTTCGTGGCCACCACACTGCTGGTAATATGGAAATTTTTGGTCTCAACATATTCATATGAGGTGTTCACAATACTGGTAGTGGTGGTCGAACATGAAGTACCCCTTGTTATGGTACCATTCGGGCTAAGGGCACTGCCCAACGAAAATGAACTGTTATTCCAATCTAAACTATAATTGAGACTAGAAAAATCGGTAGAATCTCGTGTCTTGGCAGGCAATGGTGGTGGTATAAGGTCTTCCTCGGATGTTGAATCGGTGGTCTCAACCGAATTACGATTACTGCTGTCTGCTCCCGACAGCGATTGGGTATCGGCGGCCGAAAAACCTTTCATACTTGCCGTTGGGGTTGCAATGCTGGCCGGCCGTGATAATCTTCGTTCCTTTTCTTTTTCCGAGCGCAACGGCCGTTTGGAGGTGAGCTAGAAAAAAGAAAGAAGACATTATTTAAAATGTGATATTAAAAATGGAGTAAAATTAGCCCAAACGTATTTTTTTTCAAATAAAGTACTAAGACCAGATATTTCCTGGACTTCTGATGTAAAAACGTTGATTTATGGAGAAACCATACTTGAGGAAATGTGAAGTGGAACTGAAACAAGTAAACTCGACCGGGCCGATCTTTGAATACCCTCCACCATTTGGAATGATTTTGGAAATTTAAAAAAAAAAATAATAATCCGTTAAAAATTCTGTTAAAATCTTAAAAAATGCGAAATGTAGCCATTATATTAGGGTCTATACGACGACGTGGACCTGCATAGGCAACTTTTGTCATAAACCATTACAATATTCAAATGCGAAACTTGATTAACAAAATTCGGTGAACAATGTCGCTAATATCATTAAAATACCGAATATCGGGAGGTGCCGCTATATGGGGGCTATACGAAGAGGTGGACCGGAATAGACAATTTTCTGTCTTAGGCTGTAGTATTCATTACGAACTTTAAATACCAAATTTGGAACAATTCCGGTGAATAATGTCGCTTAAATCCCCAAAATATCGAAAAAGGGGAGGTACCATTATATGGGGGCTATACCAAATTGTTGGCCTACATCACCCATTTTCAATACCAAAAGTCCAGCAGACATAATACACATTTGAGTAAATTTTTATCAACCTACTTCATTTCGTTCGGAAGCTAGAGTGATTGACGGACGTAGCTAAATCGACATAGAATTTTATGCTGATCAAGAATATATACTTTGTATACTTTGTGGGGTCTGAGATGTATATTTCGAGGTTTTACAAACGGAATGACAAACTTAATATACCCTCCATACTATGGTGGAGGGTATGAAAAGGAGTAACATAAGCATAAGCAGGGATGGGCCCAAATAGATTTTTTAAATCAAAAATGTGGTATTGTTATCTTAACTTGTTTTTGATCATCTTAAACGTTGCCAGAGAGCTTAGACCAAAAATTCCCTGACCTGATAATAAAAGGATATCTGAAATTTTTAGAATTTTTTTTAGAAAAAAAAAGACCTCTAATCAAAAAACAAATCGAAAATTCTTGGATTCTTTCAAGATAACGTAGTGCAACACAGAAAATAATTAAGGGGGAAATCCAGCAGATTATAAAAGTGGAACTGAAAAAAGAAGAGTTTTGAAAATTTACATATCAAAGTAACGTAAACAGGGGTAAGTTCTCCCTCTCCCACACCTTTGGAAAATTTTCGAATTAAGATTCCTTGGAATCTATACATTTTAGTTATATAGTGACTTCGGCAATATTGCAGCAAAAGAAAAAATAGGAGGAAAATTTTGATCGAAAATTTTTACCCTCAATCAAATCAACAAAGGCGTTTCTTTGGTTATTTTTTATACCCTGATCCATGTGGCTAGAGATGGTATATATCATTTAATACGGCCAAAACGTGCCTTATCGAAATAACGATTTTGGACCCTAGGTCTCTTTGGACCAAATTCGTTTCAGATTTTTTGGAAACGATCTAGCGATGTCCATCCTTACGTCTGTCTGGCTGGCTGCTGGTGCGCATGATATTTCTCACAGGGAGTATCCGATTTGCTACAAACTTGCTATATCGTAATATTATTATCAAATTTAGATCGAGTTCGGAGATGGGCAATATCGGTCCACTCCTTCTGGTACCTCCCCATAAAATGGTAACATTTTCAAAGAAAATAATTTACTGCACAGAAAGAGGAGAAAGGATAATTCGATTTTGCTTCAACTTTGCAGATCCTAATATTTGCATCAGCTCTAAGTCAGGTGCGAAAAAGGACAATATCGATCCGCTCCATCAAGTTCCTCCCCCACAAAGGGCCAAAATTTTAAATATTTATAACTGTTATAAAATGTTATGTAAGAGTCCGATTGTCCATCACAATATTTTTTTAACCCATGGTCTGGTGTGAAAATGGGATATATCGGTCCACTCCTTCTGATACCTCCCCCACAAAGGGTCAACATTTTGAAGCTCTAAAAACGCGAAATTAACATCCGATTTCATTCAGACTTGGTACATCTCCATATTTCCCTAAACACAATATCTGTTATAAAGATGGTAGAGATTGAACTATTTCTTCTGGTACCTTCCCCCCAGAGGGTCTAAGTTTTGAAAGTCAAAAACGATCATAAAATCCAAAAAAAGCACTTGGTTCTCTCTAAATTACACACATCCCAATATTTTTTTTTAACCCAATGTCAGGTGCGAAGATGGTTTATATCGGCCCACTCCTTCTGATACCTCCCACATAAAGAGTCAACATTTTGAATATCTATAAAGCATAAAATGCGAAATTAACATTGAATTTCATTCAGACTTGGTACATCTCCATATTTCCATCAAGACAAGATCTGTTATAAAGAGTGTGGAAATCGCTCCACTCCTTGTGGTACTTCCCCCACAAAGGGTCAAAGTTTTGAATAACCAAAATGGTCATAAAATACGAAATAAGCATCTGGCGCCTTCCCCACAAAGGGTCAAAATTTTGAATAATGAAAACGATCATTAAATTCGAAATAAGCATCCGGTTCTTTTCATATTTCGCACATTTTCACATTTTCGATAACACAAGATATTTTATGAAGATGGTAGAGATCGGACCTTTCCATCTGGTGAAGCTCACAAAATACGAAATTAACAACCGATTTCATTCAGGCTTGGTACATCTCATTTCCATCAAGACAAGATCTATTATAAAGATTGTGGAGATCGGATCATTTCTTCTGGTACCTCCCCCACAAAGGGTCAAAGTTTTGAGTAACCAAAACGGTCATAAAATCCGAAATAAGCATCAGGTTCTCTTCAAATTACACACATCACAAGCTCTGGTACTGGTACCTTCCCCCACAAAGTGTCAACATTTTGAGTAACTATTAGGCTTCATAAAACGCGAAATTAGAATCCGACAAAGATGGTACAGATCGGAACATTTCTTCTGGTATCTCCCACACATCCAAATATTTTTGCTAACTCAAGATCCGTTGTGATGATGATACCAACCCCTTCTGGTACCTCAGCCACAAAGGTTCACAATTTTCAATACTTATATCTGTCATAACTTGCGAAACAAGTCGGCGATTCTTTACGACTTGCTATATCTAAATACTTCTCTTAACCAGAAATCTGATATAAATATGTGATTTATCGAACTTTATGATTTTGCATAAAAATGGATATAAATGTTCGATTTCCTTCAAATTTTGAACATACCAAAATTTTTCTCTGTATTATTACGCATATTTCCACATTTTCCAAAAATTTGCACATATCTCATAAAATTATAGGAAGTAGTCGATATAGTCCAAATCCGGCACTTGGTAATATTTTTATCAGTCTCAGGTCAGATACGAATTGATCAATATTGTCCAACTGCTTCGAAACCTCCCCCCATAAAGGGTCAACAGTTTGAATAATCAAAACAAGTTAAAAAGTATCAGTCGGTATTGCCGCCAGAGATATACCCTCAGCCTATGTTCGATTGTCTAAATATATTTTGACTAGTGCCAAGTCTAAATGGAATCGGATGTTAATTTGGCGATTTATGAGCTTCATGGGTACTCAAAATTTCAATATTTTGTGGGGGAGGTACTTGATGGAGTGGACCGATATTGTCCATTTTCACACCTGACCTAGCACTGACGCAAATATTAGGATTTGCAAAGTTGGAGCAAATTCGGATTATCCTTTCTCTTCCTGTGCAAAAAATATATTTTTTGAAAATTTCGACCTTTTGTGGGGGAGGTACGAGAAGGAGTGGACCGATATTGTTCATCTTAACACCAGACCTTGGGTTAATATAAATATTGGGATGTGTGAAATTTGAAGACAATCGGACTCTTACATAACATTTTATGAGAGTTGTAATTATTCAAAATTTTGACCATTTGTGGGGGAGGTACTTGATGGAGTGGACCGATATTGCCCATTTTCACACCTGACCTAGCACTGACGCAAATATTAGGATTTGCAAAGTTGGAGCAAATTCGGATTATCCTTTCTCTTCCTGTGCAAAAAATATATTTTTTGAAAATTCAGACAGACGGACGGACGGACGGACATCGCTAGATCGACTCCAAATGTTCTGAAACGGATTTGGTCCAAAGAGACCTAGGGTCTAAAACCGTTATTTCGACTAGGCACGTTTTGGCCGTATCAAATGATATATAGCCTCTGTAGCCATATGGCTGAGGGTATAATTAAAGGCTGGGGGTATGCAAACCGACTGATACTATTATACTTGTTTAGATATACTTTTATAATCTACTGGAGACTTCATGTCAATAGATCGTAGAACTTCTTGAAAAGTCTTTGATTTTATTCACTCTGTTGCAGTTGTTAAATAATACAAATCATGCCATTGGTACATATACCTGTATATAGATGATCATAGGCTGAGGATATACATCTGTCAGCAAAGTGACGGATATATTCTAGCCTAATTTATTTCAGAATGGCAGATCTACTTTCAGACGAAGTAAAATTCCTTTCATTGAAGACTAACAAGAAACTTTTTATCATTATATGAGGACAGATTTTTAGTTTAAAATGATTTTTAAACATTTTCAAAGAACTTTTAAACATCTAAATTTGATCGAAATTGCTCAATCAAATATGAAATAACACTTCTTGCAGAATCAAGGATTCTCGATTCAAATACCTACCTCTTCGGTTAATACTTTAGGATCAGCGGTCTTGGAACACAATGAAGTGTTTGAGGCCGAAATTATGGAGGTGTTTGATTCCTTTTCCGGCGTTGAGGTTATCGTTGTCAACGGTGTGGTATACCATTGGCTATTGGCCACGGGCAAACTTAAGGTGTCACGATCCAACTGAAACGTTTAAAATAAATTAAATTAAAGACCATAAATTGAAAATAAAATGAAAATTAAATGTTTTACCTTTTTAATTGATCTCCGTTTCGAGGGTGTTTTATCCTTAGATTTGCTTTTGGTGCTTGGTGAATGGCCAAGACTGGGTCTACTCAATTGCCAAGGAACAATAAACGGGTGGAAAACACACAAAAGGAAAAGAAAAGAAACGAAAAAACAAAAACCAAAAATAAAACAACAAACACAACACAGAAAGCCATAATTATAATACAAAAGTAATTAAATAAATTAACTTAAAACTTGAATGCCAGGCTGGAAATTGTAATTGAACCAAAAAATAAATTTAAAATCTCAAACAGATCTTCAATAAAAAATGCATTCATTCTTTTAAAAAATAATAGACACACAAAACATTTAATATAATACATTTCTTTGGGAATTATTTACAAAAATTATATTTTCAAACTAAATTGATATTGAAAATATAAAATTTAATGGAATGCAACATTGAATTATAATACAAAAGAAGATGGAAGAAATATTCTCATTAATATTTTTGAATATTGCAATTTTTATATTTACTTATCTATATACATTATAAGATTAGAAGGGCTGCCCATAAACTGATTGTATTGAAATAATTTATGAGACAAATTTAATTTTTATTAATTAATGTCTCAGGTTAGTTGAACTCTTTTCAAGTTAACAAAGGAATTGAAAATTAAACTCTTAACGAACAAAAAAAAAAAAAAAAAAAAATTCAGAAAAAAACGAACAAGTAAAATAGTATCAGTCGGTTTTGCCGACGGATGTATACCCCCAGCCTTGAGTTATGATTATTGAAACTGTAGACCCGTTATGGGGGAGGTTCCGAAGCAGTTGGATAATATTGACCAATTCGTATATGACTTAAGACTGATAAAACTATTACAACGTGCTTTGTATTTGGACTATATCGACTACTTCCTATACTTTATATGAGATATGTGTAATTTTTTGGAAAATATGTGGATATATGCGTGAGGTAACAGATATAGCGGACCGAAGTATTCTTTTTTCATACTTCATCTAATACAGATTAAAAAATATTGGTATGTGCAAATTTTGAAGGAAATCAAACATTTATATCCAATTTTATGCGAAATTCAGATTTCTGGTTAAGAGAAATATTTGTTTCGCAAGTTATGATAGATATAAGTATTGGAAATTGTGACCCTTTGTGGGTGAGACAACAGAAGGAATGGACCAATATATCCCATCTTCACAAAAGATCTTGCTTTGGGAAAAATATTTGGATGTGTGAAATTTGAAGAGATTTGGATGCTTATTTTGCTTTCATTGGGCGTTTTGTTTTTCACTAATCTTGAACCCCATGTGGGGGAGGGACCAGAAGGAATGGTGCGATCTGCACCATCTTTAAAACAAATCTTGTGTTAATTTCGGGTTTTATGAGCTTCATGGATTTTCAAAATGTTGACCCTTTGTGGGGGAGGTACCAGAAGGAGTGGAAGAGAACCGGATGCTTATTTCGGATTTTATGCTCGTTTTGTTATTCAGAATTTTGACCCTTTGTGGGGGAGGTACCAGAAGATATGGTCCGATCTATACCAACTTTATAGCAGATCTTGGGTTGATAGAAATATTGATATGTGCAAAGTCTGAATAGAATAGGATGTTAATTTCGCGTCTTATGAGCTTCATAAATATTAAAGATTGTGACCCTTTGTGGGGGAGGTACCGGAAGGAGTGGACCGGTATATACCATTTACATACCAGATCTTGTGTTAGTAGAAACAATGGGTTGTGTGAAATATGAATAGAACCGGATGTTTATTTCGAATTTTATAATCGTTTTTGTTATTCAAAACGTTGACCTATTATGGGGAAGGTACGAGAAGGAATGATCTGATTTCTACCATCTTTATAACAGATATTGTATTGATAGAAATATCAAGATGTACTAAGTCTGAATGGAATCAGATGTTAATTTCTCTTTGTGGGAGAGGTATCAGAGGGTGATCCAATATATTCCATCTTCACACCAGACCTTGGATTAATAAAAATATTATTATGTGTGCAATTTGAAAACAATCAGACACATACATCAAATTTTATAAGAGTTATAATTATTAAAAATGTTGACCCTTTTGGGGGAGGTACTTGATGGAGTGGACCGATATTATCCATTTTCCCACCTGACCTAGCACTGATGCAAATATGAGGATTTGCAAAGTTGGAGCAAAATTGGATTATCCTTTCTCTTTCTGTGCAGTAAAAAATTGTCTTTGAACAGTTCGACATTTTGTGGGAGAGGTACCAGAAGGAGTGGACCGATATTGTCCATCTCTGAACTCGATCTAAGTTTGATAATAATATTACGATTTACCAAGTTTGGACCAAACCGGATACTCCCTTCGATAATTATTGTGCGCACCAGCCAGCCAGGAAGACAGACGGACCGATGGACAGACATCGCTAGATCGACTACAAATGGCCTGAAACAGATTTGGTGCAAAGAGACCTAACATCTAAAACCGTTATTTCAATGAGACACGTTTTGGCCGTATCATATGATACATACCCTCTGTAGCCATATGACTGAGGGTATAAAAAGCATGTGTATTTCAATCCCGTGTTAAAATCTTATAAAATAGTTTTAGATGGAATTTTCTAAAGCCTCAAGTGCTGGGCTTTTGATGAGTCAAAAATGGACGAAAAAATGTATAATATCTAATTCCTATTCCCCAATATTTAAATTAACAATACAATTACTTTACTGGCAGCCCTTTAAATATATATCTCATAAAAATTAATTGAAAACATACCTAGGATTAAAAGCAAAACCAAATGTGGATTTAATCGAATTCGTTGGAGGTCGTGTTGTTGATTTCGAAAGACCGCTACTGCAAATGTAAAAAAATCGAGTTATTAGAAAACATAGAAGTATGCGAAATAGAAGTATTTCAAACTTACTCTGAAGAACCCATACTCGTCTCCGACAAACGATTGTTGGTATCACACATGCTGGGTATAAAAGAGTTATTGCGACGCATTATTACCGAATCACGATCAAGTTTTAGGTCACAAGTCTGCAAAATAATAAAAAATATTGTTATACAAATTGTACTATTTTTATATTATTGAAATTAAATTATTAATAATAATATAGAATAAAATAAAATGTATTAAAAATATTGGGATGTGTGAAATTTGAAGATAATTGAATGCTTATTTCGCGTTTTATAAGCTTCATGATTATTCAAAATGTTGACTTCTGCGTTGTAGAGGTACCGGGAGGATTAGGCCGATATATTCCATCTTCACATCAGATCTTGTGTTGTTAGAAATATTAAGATGTGCAAAATTCGAAGACAATCGGACCCTTTCGTTTACACTTTATAAGAGTTATAATTATTTAAAATTTGCACCCGTTGTGAGGGAGGTACTTGGTGTAGTGGGCCGATATGGACCACTTTCGCTCTATACCTAGCACTGATAAAAATATAAGGATTTGCAAATTTTGCACTAATTTGTATGATCCGATATTTCTATATTCGAAATCGATCTAATTTTGATAATAATATTACGATGTGGCATGTTTGGACCAAATCGGATACTTTCTTCGAAAGTTATCGTGCGCACCAGTCAGGCAGACAGAGGGAAGGTCGACTCCAAATGTCCTGAAACGCATTTGGCCCAAAGAGACCTTTCGCCCAAAAACGTAATTTCGAAGATATTTTCCCTCTGCAGTCAAATGGATGAGCGCTTTTATATCCGTGTATCGGCGTTTTGATATCTTACATCGCAAAGTAACCTGAATAGAGAGATTTCTCGGAATCCGTGCATTTTAGGGTCTTCAGCAATATTGCAAATAAAAATATGTCTTTTTGCCAAAACTCTTCAACAAGGGCCTTTTTGGTCCTTTTTTTAAATAATGGTTAAAATACCTCTTGAAACGGGATCGTAGCAAGTCCAAATATTCTGCAGAATTATTTGTCATAAAATTCTAATACGGGTTTTAAAAGACGTCAAAAGTCTAAATATTCACACATTTATTAAAGACACATTTTATGGTAAAAGAAGTACTTTGTGTGAGTTTAAGCAAAAATATCCAACAAATCATTTTTTTAGAAGAATGACGTCAAAGGCAAAAATGTTCCTCATCAAATTTTACTACAAGTCACCAACAAAAAAAAAAGAAATCTCTCTTCTCATTATATATATATCAAAAAAATATTTGCATCAATTTTGCCAAAAAATTCAAAAATATTTTTTTAAAAATTTTTCTTTGGCCTTTTTTCGAGTTGACGCCTGAAATAGGTATAAAATTTCGTTTTATGCGGAAGATGTCAAAAGAGAAAATACTCTACACAAAATTTTACTATGAATCTTAGAATAAACCATGTACTTAGGTGCAATAGTTTTTATGAAAACTATATTCGAAATCTATGCAGTAAAAGTGAAAATTATGTCTTTTCTTTTTTAATGTTAATTTAACACATATCCGAGACAAAATCTCGCTTTACATTTCATTTTTTGGGGAAAGCCTTAAAGGAGGAATTATTCCGGATGAAATTTTATTGTGAGTCCTCAAGAAAAGGTATTTGTATATTCAAAATTTACCATGAAAAAATATCAAAAATTTTTGTTAATAGAAATTTATTTTTTTTTTTTTATAAAATTTGGCCATTTTCAAATCCCCTTATGATATCACTGTCTAAAAGCTAGTCTGCGTTATGGAAAATTCTAAGTGAACTTGATAATAGTCGATTTGTAAATCTTAACCCCAAAGGAGTTATGGGTTTCTAGGCCAAACGTAGTTAAGGCCTTTACATAGTTTTGTCCATATACAAGGGACCCCTATAGTTACAGATATATATTTCGCAACATTTAAGATAGAGCTTTGAAATTTGATAGTGATTTTTGGATTACATCCAGAATTATTGGCGTATAAATTTGGTCATATCGGTTCATTTTTTGGAATAGCTCCCTTGTGAGAATAACTCCGATTTCAAGTATTTTTACGTTAGGGCTATGTTTCCATTTAATTTGCCCAATTAGTAAAACCCCTGACTTTAGTTGTTGCAAGGGTCTTGGTCTTATTTTTTAATCAATTTAGCTTTAACTTGGTTTCTTTGGTCGTAAACCCATTTTTTCGCAATATATTTCAATGTAGGTAACTTTTTCTGGGTAGTGCCCATATATTAGATGCTCCTAGTGTCTTGACCATATATTGGAAGATAGGGTCCAGACCATCGAAATTAAAGAAATCAGGAGCATCCTATATACGGGTGCTGCACCGAAACGTGGACCTACATTGAAATTTATTGTGAAAAAGTGCTCTACGGTCCAAGAAAGCAAGACACAAGAAATTAATGATATCAGGAGCGTCCTATAAAATTCCACTTAAAATCAGCGAATTCCGGGGTATCTTAACCGAAAATTTTAAAAGTGTGGAAGAGTCCCCTCGTCTCCATATGTTTTTGTTACTGTTCGATGTAATCGCTGATTTTTGTGTCGCTCAGTGTAATAAGTAAATAACTATTTAAAAGAAACATTATTGGTGGACACTCACCCTCTTGCCATACTTGGCCTCAACCTGAGCCTGCATATCGGCAAAGCATGTCTCCAAACGTTCATGGAACAGTTTCAAACTTTCGGGTACCTTTTGTCTGTGCAGCGTTATGGCTGGAAATTGAAAAAAAAAAAAACAAATTTTATTATTAAATATTTTTACAATGAGGAAAAGTGTAGTCCTACCAATTTCCAGTAGTGGTATTTGTGCAGCAATCAAATCCTTGAGTTCCTCTACCAAATCCTTATCATCGGGATGTTCTTCCAAATACTCGGCGGTAAGGAAGGCATCTTCATATTTCTTGGTGCCACCCATGACGGCGGGATCAACAATACCATGTATTTTCATACCCAACGGATTGACGGGTATCGTTTCATCGTTTTTGTGGGCAATAATCAAATCGCGTATATCTTTGTTCGTCGTTTTCATTGTTTCAACGGCAAGTTCAAGGGGTGAAATCTGAAAAAAAAAAAAACGAGGAACAACAAATTAGTATTTTCAATTAAAAATTAGGTGCATATATTGATTTGCCAAATTAAAGCCAGTTTTGTAAGAAACCAGAACTCCTTAAACACTAGATCGGTTGGGCGTATTATTTTAGGATTTTAATAAATTTTAAGGGTGGGAATTCAGTTGGAGTGTGTATCCCAAATAACGAATAAGGCGCTCCAGATAAAATCCAATGAATATAAATATGTATAGAAATATACACCCATTCTCTAGAAGCCGTTGAAAAAAATCTCGATTTTTAGCCTTGAGTGTCATTAAAGAAAATATTTTAAAATAATATAACAGTCTGATGCAAAATCCCTGTCTGAGGCTCTGAGAGTCCATGAAAAAATATTCTTTAAAAAATCCACGCCAATAGCTTAAGAGTCGTTGAAGAAAATATTCTGAAAAAAGTGACGCTCATAGCTCTGGGAGTCAATTCCAAAAATATTAAAAAATCCACACCAAACATGCTAAAGAAATTCCACAGCAGGATTCTGGAAATAGATTCCTAAAAACGCTATTGATAGCCCCTAGAATCAATACAAAATATTTCGAAACAAGTAAAAAGTAGCTAAGTTCGGACGGGCCGAACTTTTAATACCCTGCACCTTCAAAATGAAGGATCTTGAATAATTTAAAACAAAAATCGTTGAAAAATACCACATAAATGAAAACCGTTATATGGGAATATACGAAGAAACGCATAAGAAATTTTTAGTCATAGGCTGTAGTATCGATTCCGAACTTCAAATACGGAATTTGAAACAATTCCGTTAAATAATGTCGCTAATGCCATCAAATTTGAAACAATTCCGGTGAATAATGTTGCAAATAGCGGATAAAGGGAGGTATCGTTATACGTGGGCTATACGAAGACGTGAACTTGCATAGACAATTTTCGGGCATAGGTTGTAGTACTCCTTACGATCTTGAAGCTTTAAATACGAAATTTGAAACAATTCCGGTCAAAAATGTCGCTAAAATCATCAAAATACCAAATATCGGAGTGTACTTTTATATGGCGAACATACGACGTCGTGGACCTACATAGACAATTATCTTCCAGGGGAAAATTATACTCACTAGAAACTCCGTGGTGGACTTACATAAACAATTCTCTTCCATGGGGTGAAGTATTTAGAAGGTACTCCTTGTGTGAATTTTGAGACAATTCAATTTAAAAATTTGGCTACAATTATCAAAATACCGAGTAAAGGCAGATACCGTTATATGGGGGATATACGATATCGTGGACCGATATGGACAATTCTCTTTGTGGGGGTACAGTATTCAGAAGGAACTCCTTGTGTAGAATTTCAAACAATTCCATTGAAAAATGTGGCTAAAATCATCAAAAGACCGAATATTGGGAGGTATCGTTATATGGGGGCTATACGATATCGTGGACCTATATACACAATTCTCTTCCAAGGGGTAAAGTATTCAGAAGGAATTCCTTGTGTGAATTTTCAGACAATTTCATTGAAAAATGTGGCCAAAATCATCAAAATACCTAGTATTGGGGGGTACCGTTATATGGGGGCTATACGATATCGTGGATCGATATAGCCCATCTTCGAAAAATTTCAGCTTCCTATATTAATTCGCAAAAATGTTAGCTTCCTATATTAATTCGTTTTGACTCTAGCATGATTACAACAGACGAACGGACAGACAGGGTTAATCGTCTTAGAATTTTACGCTGGTCAAGAATATATATACTTTGTTGGGTCTAAAATTATTATTTTTTAGATGAGTTACAAACGGAATGGAACAATATATGGTGGAGGGTATAAAAATCAGGAACATTTAATTATAAATTTATAAAGAATTTTTCTTAAAATTCGACGTCCATAGCTCCTAGAACATATATCTGTCTGAAAAAGTCAAATATAAGAGCATACTTTTGGGCGCGCTGTTATAATAGTAAGAAATATCTGTTAATCCCGACTCCAAAAAACTACGCCTAAACCATAAAAATTATATATTCTCCCCTACTCACCTTAAACGTATCCGAATCGATGACGGGGAACCAACGTAGAATACCCGGCAGCGGGTATTTAATGGTAACCACCGTACGTTCCAGCCACAAATTACCCACACCATCAGCATCGCCGGTACAAGAACTCTCGCGATAGGGCCTTGAGAATTTAAACTTCTGCACATTATTGTTATTGAAATATTTTACAATTTCTGTGGATATTATTTTGGTATCGGTAAATTTGGCAAATGCTTCGTCCATGATGGGTTCGACTTTATTGATTTGAATATATTGTCCTTCACTTTGTGTTATCTCCTCACCGGGCGTCTCCAGTGTATGCATTAGCTCAGCCTGGGGATGTTGCATTAGGATACGGGTACTAAAATCATCGAGACGTTCATACTCTTTGCCACGATAAATGTAGGTTTTATTTTGCAAAAATCTTGCAAAACCCAAGCCATAGAAGCAAACCCGGAAATACTCGGAGGTATGACGCATTTCCTTCAATATCTTTTCATAGAACAGAGCCATTTTCTTGAGCAAGTCCGCCAATTTGATGTAGTCATAGATTTCATTTTCATATTGTTGTACCAGAACTTTGCACATGTCAATGGCACATTCCCACATTTTACCCTTATCGAAATAATCGATAATTTCATAATAAAGGGCCTCTTTCAGATCCCGATGGCTGCGACATTGCATGTGACGGTGGGACCTCAGCAAAGGTGAAAGTTCGGTATCATCCCAGGATAGCAACTCCGTGTGGAGTTTCAGGGTAAAGGCCGCCTCAGTATAGTTATCAAATTCCATATGTAAATCACACAGCTTGTAGACATAACGTATGTACATTTCCTTGCGATTAACTTCGGAATAGAATTGCAGCAGGGAGAAAGTACAGGCCATACGATTCTCTTTACTTTCATCCTGAATAATGCAACGATATTCCAGCAGACGATCCATAAGTTTCGTGACCATATTAACAAATTTCGTACCCTCCACATTGAGAATATTATGGGCATTACATTTCTCAAGGAGGATTTGTTCGAACAGCTCCTTATATTGCACATCTCCCTTGCCCGCCCCAATAAGGATATCCAATTTTTCAATCATTTCCCTTTCGAATTCATTGAAGTTCGCCTTATAATGGGAATTGTTGCGTTTCGTATCGCCATAGCTATCTTGGATGAGTCTCGAACTGTAGTACTCACACTGCATCATATCGAAGAATATGGGTATGGTTGCCTTTCGCAACTCCACCTCGGGTATCATGCTCATTTCCAGAATCGGCTCAACCAATTGTGGCACAAATTGCGGTTTGTGTTCTCCCAGTTGGAACCACATTTTACGTATCTCTTGGGCTGTATCCTTGCGTATATCACGATAGCGGGCAAATATCATCTGACGTTTGGTATCATTGAAATCATTCAATTGCAAGGGGGATTGTATCAGAAATGCAATGGAACACTGGAAGAAATTCGACCAAACCTGTTTCTCGAAAGGATCAATGAAATGGTCGACAATAACAATTGACAATTGTTTCAGTGCTCCCAAAATCACCGTATTCTGATGCATTATCATGTCCATCCAATCCCGCTGGAAAACGGGTTTTTGATGTGGCGACACCAACTCCTCGAATACCAGGAGAATTTCTATGACGAAATCTTGCAACTCAAAACGATTATTTAAATGACGTACAAAGATCTCATAATGTGATGCATCCATACACTGGAGTATGCCCAACATAATGGCCACCAAATTGGCAACCAATTGATTTTCCCGATCGAGGTTGTGTGAAGTTTTGATCACCGTTCTCAGCAGGATCAACATAATGTCACGTATGTCGTTGTGTGTGTGACCAATATCTTTGCGATATAGCAATTTCAAAATGTTGTTCATGATGTTTATACATTCGGTGACCTGGAGTGGAGGGAGAGAGAAATGGAAAAAAATTAAAATAATTGAGAAATGGGAAATTATGAAAATTGTATTCAAAAATTAATATCAATGACTTAATAATACTTATAAATTATCTTCATAAAAATGCTCAATTATTTATGTTCTTATAAGAAAATTTGCAGCAAATTGGGGAAAAAAGTGTTAAATTTTTCAAAAACTATTATATTTTTTCATGGTAAATATTGAATATACAAATGTCTTTTGTTCAGAGACCCTCAATGAAATTTGATCTAGAATAATTCTTCACTTGACACTTTCTTCAAAAAATGAAGTATAAAGGGAAATTTCGACTCAGAATGGAAACATGTTAAATTAGCAGTAAAAAACCCAAACACCTATTTTTCTCTTATAATATATTAATTTCGAATGTAATTTTCTTGGAACCTATTATAGCTAGATATATAGTTTATTCTGAGATTTAGGGTGAAATGTTGTGTAGAATATTTCTTCCTTTGATATCTTCTGCCTAAAACGAAATTTAATGTTACTTCCTGGCGTCAACTCAAAAATGACAAAAAAAATTACAGAAAAATAGAATTTTTTTCGAGTCTTTTTTATGGGAACATTGATGGCAATATTTTTAAGATTTACAATGGAAATAGGGATTTTTTTTCTTTGACGACTTATAGTGAAATTTGGTCTAGAATATTTCTTCCCTTGACACTTTCTTCAAAAAATGAAGCATAAAGGGAGATTTCGACTTGGACTAGTAAAACAGCAAACACATAATTTCCCCTATTATATATTAATTTCGAATGTAATTTCTCTAAAAACTATTGTTGCTAGATATATACTTTATTCTGAGATTTATAGCGAAATATTGTGTAGAATATTTCATTCTTTGGCACCTTCTTCATAAAACGAAATTTAATAGTACTTCCAGGCGTCAACTGAAAAATGGCCAAAAAAAAATTGAATTTTTTTCGAGTCTTTTTTTTTGTGAACATTGATACATATATTTGTACGATTTACAATGAAAATAGGGATATCAATTCTTTGATGACTTATAGTGAAATTTGGTCTAGAACTCGAAAAAAGAGACCGAAGAAAATTGACAAAAAAATATTAGAAAAAATTTTGGACTTTTTTTTGGGAACATTGATGCATTTTTTCTATTTATAGAGGACATAGAGATTTTTGTTCTTTGGTGACTTATAGCGAAATTTGATGAGGAGTATTTTTCTCTTTGATGCCATTCTTCTGAAACGATGTTATGTAGGAGATTTTTGCATAAATTCACGTAAAGTACGGCTTTAGCCCTAAATTGCGAGTACTAAACGTTGACAATTCCAATTTTGCCTAAAATTAACCAAATTCAGAATATTGGGAGGTACCGTTACATATGACCTATAGTAAAATGTTAACCTACAGGGTGAGATGAAAAAACTGCAACCAAATTCAGACTGCTGTAATTTCTAAGCCACTTGTCCGACAGCTGTGAAAATTATTCCAGTGACAGCTCATTATATTGTTTACATGCGTGCAAAAGCATTTTAGTGAGAATTTTCCAGAAAAAAAGTTATTCGTGATGGAATTCTTTATATTTGGCTAGAAAACCACAAGTGGCTATCGTTAGATCACTTCAGCATTTAAATGTGAATAAATAAATCTGAAATAAATCTTTAAATCTCGTACCATCCATCGCTAGCCCGACGTCAAGGAAGTAGACGGAAGAAAACACCAACATCAGCAGAAATGGTTCGCGTCGCAGTGGCCGAAAAATGACTCGTGAGCTCAACATATCGCAATATTCCATTCGGCAAATATTGAAAAATGAGCTCGGGATAAAGCCATTGAAATTTCAAAAAGTGCACGAACTTACACAGCAACAGAAAAAAAAAATAGACTTGAAAGAGCTAAAGAGTTGCTTCGCTTGGCCAAAAGTGGTGAACTGCCGAACTTAGTTTTATCCGATGAGAAAATATTCGTGTCATTGTGTTTACTTGCCAAAGAGGTCAGCTGAAAATGTGCACCTTCGGTTAACCATTAGAACTCAAGCGCCGGCCATGGTGATGGTGTGGCATCAGAATTAATGCCGAATATTATCGCGAAAATATTTTGGAAGGTACTCCCACAAGGGGACCGCCCGCGGTACCAGAATATAGCCTCGGGTCAGGATTCGTAGTATCGCTACTACCAGTTGAACTCCAAACAGTCAGGGACTGATCACCTACAATATTCTGGAGTGTGTATTAAAGCTTTGGGCACGCACACATTTTGGCCGCAGGCCTTGGTTCCTCGCTTCGTTTAACCACAATTAACCCTAAATCGTTTGAAGTTATATTTGGGAGCAGATATAGCTATCTGAACTGATTCTCACCAATCTCAAACAAATATTGTTTGGAAAATGTCATCTCAATTGGATAATAAATGTGACCTGCAGTTTGTTCACAACAATACATGGGCAGACGGACTGAAATGCATAAATCGACTCAGAAAGTGATTCTATGAAGATCCTCAAAAGCAACTATGGGTCTATTTCGCTTCCTTCTCGATGTTACAAACAAATGCACAAAGAGATAATACACTTACCACAATGTGGTGTAGGGTATATACAAACGAGTAAGAGAATCCCACTACAGATTGACAGTACATTTGTGGCATACTTCTAGGCGCTAACAGTAAACCAAGCACTGGCAATGGATTTTAGAGGATAACAATGATTTCGTTTCGTTTTCAACGATTTTTTAAAAATAATTGAACATTTTTAACACTTACACATATAATAACAGATTCTTCTTATATATAACTTATATAATAATATATATAAATTTATATTAATAAAATATCTGAAACAAAACAAATCTTAAAACTAGATTATGTTGGAAGAATCAAAAAGGGATAAACAAAACAATTTTTTTTACAAAACAAACAATTCAAAAATATATAAAAACAAAATTAATATTAATTAATTAATATTATATTTAAAAAGAAAGCTTAAGCTTAAAGGAAAAATATAACAAATCATTATTTTTTTATAAAAATCGGAAAGCAGTTTTTTTTTTCAAATGCCATTAAAGAACACAAAATACTTGAGGCGGCAGCGGGTACTACATTATGGGTAAAAAATAAATTTTAAATTAATAACAAAATGGAAACTTGATTTTCAACTTAAAATAAAAATCACCACCAAATCAAATGTGAAGAGAAATAAGCACTAAATGATATACTTGTAAACATTTTATTATAAGCTGATTTACAATAAATAATATATAATTGTTTTTTATTGTTATAAATATACTAAACACATCATGATATAATATGACTTAATTGAGTCGCTTAGATTATGGCACAGATACTCAGAGATGGGTGATTTCGACAAGGTTCGATTTTGACTCAACTGAGATACATGGCGCTCGATTTCGAACTCGCTGTATAGAGAGTGTTCCGAAATTTATTTATAAGGACAAAATTAAAAAAAAAATAAATTGAGACTTTTTACAATTTCCATTTTTTTTTTTTGTAATATTTCGGAACACCCCCGAATATTCTACAATACACATTTTTTACTCAACATGATGGAGGATTGTGAGGATTTTGAACACTATAATTTTTTTTGATACATGATTAATGTTGTTGTTTTTACCTTTTGTTTAGCTGTCGTTTCACGGGTGTGCAGTTGCGATTTTAATTGTCCAAGAACTTTGGCTGCTTTCGAAAGATTTTTTTCTTGTTGCCAGATATCGGATTTCGTATCGCCCTATAGGTATTTTCATTTAATTCGTATTGAATGTGGCATTTTGCGCAAATAACAACAAACAAAGCATAAAATGGTAAAGAAAAGAGATACGAGATTTGATTTGATTTGATTGCGTTGTTGTTGTTGTTGTTGGTTGTGGATTGAATATTGTTGAAGAAGAACAAAAAAAACATATGTGGATGGGTGTGTGTGTGCGAAAAAAATTAAGACAAAAAAAAAACAAAAACAAATTTTTATGGTAAAGGATGACCCTGCTGGCGGTTGTTTCCTTGAAAGAGGGGTTATTTGATTTTTAGCAATTTATGTTTTAAGAAAATTTGAAATATTGAAAAAAAAATATTTTTTTTTTTTGTAAAAAACAAAACACTGATATATTATTAACTTCTACATTATTTAAATTATTTACTTCAAACTCTGTATAGTGAAATATTCCAAAAATAATAAAAAAAACATTGAGAATAAAGTTAGGAATTTATTTAATATCCCAAATTTCAATATTTAAAATTTTTTAAATACTACAAAATTTTTCAATTAAAAAAATGTTTAATCTCCTAATTTTTGTAATTTTAAAAAAATAATACATTTAAAATATTTAAAATCTTAAATCCATGAAAAATGCAAGTCAAATTTATATTTTATAGTCAATTTTTTTACTTTCTTAATAGTGAAAAAATAATAAAAAAATTGAGAATAAAAAAATAAATTCCTTATTTTTTTAATATCCCAAATTTCTATATTTAAAAATTTTAAAATACTACAAATTTTTAGAATTGAAAAAAAATTAAAAATTCAAATATCTCTATTTTTTGTAATTTTCGAAAAAACAGTAAGGAAAAGTCAAAAGTCGGGCGGGGTCGACTATATGATACCCTACACCACTATGCATATTTAGTAGAGCTCCCGTAACAAAATAATGCATTTGAAGTAGATCATACCACCTATCAGCATTTGACTTTAGAGCAGTTAGGTTTCCGAGGGAACTAATATATGGGAAGCATATTCAATTCTGAATCGATTTTCATTATATTTGACGGAGCCATTTTAATCTTTGCAACATTGCCATAGAGTGCATGATATCACTTCGAAAATGATTATATTAAAAAATATATGTCGGAGCCGAGTTCCACCAAATGAAAACGTACGTCCCGAATTTCAATCCATTTGGGCTGATATTAGCCATTATATGCACAATAAACCTGAAATCGGATTAAGGATATATATGTAGGAGCTATATCCAAATCTTAGCCGATCTCGATAAAATTTGGCAAAGTTATTTCCGAGTTCTATAAGATATCTGGTACCAAATATCATTGTTGTCGAATGCATATTAAGAATGTGAGGGACTTAAAACCCCAAATCGGATGAAATATATATATGGGAATTATGGCTATATCTGAACCGATTTTCACCAAATTTTACGTACTTGCTTCTAGACTGAATTCGGTAGGATGTACCAAAATTCACTATTGGACTTATATTGGCCGTTTGGTGCATAAATAACCCGAAATCGGTTGAAGATATATATGAGAGCTATATCCGAATCTGAGCCGATCTCGATAAAATTTGGCAAAGGTATTTCCGAGCTCTATAAGATATCTGGTATCAAATATCATGGTTGTGGAATGCATATTACGAATGTGAGGGACTTAAACACGAAATCGGATGAAACATACACATGGGAGCTATAGCTATATCTGAATCGATTTTCACCAAATTTAATGTATTTGCTTCTAGACTAAATTCGGTGGGATGTAGTAAAATTCAGGTCATTTGGACAAACATTGGTCATTTGGAGCACAATTAACCCGAAATCGGTTGAAGATACGTATGGGGGCTATATCCAAATCTGAACCGATCTTGACAAAATTTGATTCACCTATTTCAGAGCTTTATCTGATATCTCATACCAATCGTACAAATCGGATATAACTTATGTATGGCAGCTATAGCTATATCTGAACCGATTTGCACAAAATTTGAGGTACTGGTTTCTAGGAAGAATTCAGTCATAATTAGCAAAATGCAGTCCATTTGGTGCCGAATAAACCTCATATCGGATAAAGTTATATATGGGAGCTATATTCTAATCTGGACCGATCTTGACAAAATTTGATACACTTATTTCAGACCTTTATCTAATATCTGGTACCAAATATCATTGTTGTGTAATGCATATTACGAATGTGAATGACTTAAAACCACAAATCGGATGAAATATATATATTGCAGATATAGCTTTATCTGAACCGATTTGCACAAAATTTGAAGTACTGGTTTCTAGGATGAATTCAGTCGTAATTACCAAAATGCAGTCCATTTGGGCTGATATTAGCCATTTGGTGCCGAATAAACCTCATATCGGATAAAGTTATATATGGGAGCTATATCCTAATCTGAACCGATCTTGACAAAATTTGATACACTTATTTCAGAGCTGTATCTGATATCTGGTACCAAATAACATTGTTGTGGAATGCATAATACGCTTCTGAGGGACTTCAAACCCCAAATCGGATAAAACATCCGGTTATTACCAATTTCAATACGGTTCGTCCTTGGGCCAAAAAAAATATGGTTTGGAAAATTTCATCTAAATCGGATAATAAATGTGACCTGCATTTTGTTCACAAGAATACATTGACAGACGGACTGACATGCATAAATCGACTCAGAAGGTGATTCTATGAAGATCCTCAAAATAACTATGGGTCTATCTCGCTTCCTTCTTCCTTCCTTCCTTCCTTCCATGTTACAAACATAATATCCTTACCACTGTGTGGTGTAGGGTATAAAAATTCGACTACTTTTCACATAATATTGAATAAAATCTGAATATACCTTTTTCAGAAATAATTAAAATAATAATAATAAAATTGAAAAAATCTTGAGAATTGATTTTTGACCAATTTGAATTATTTATTGAAGGACATTTTTGGTCAAATTAATTATAAATAAAAAAATTGAATTTTTTTTAATTTTTGCTTCTAATTATTTTACTTTTCCACAATACAAAATATTGAAAAAATCTCAATATACCATTTAATAAATAATCAAAATAGGTTTAACAAAATTAGGCTCTATACGATAGAAGCCATATGGATCCTAAGAGCCCCCCGTATGAAATTGCAGTTTCAAATATTTTTCTCAAATTCAAATAACCCACATTTTAATAAACCACCGCCAGATGGAGCATCCTTTGAAAAAATATCTCTAAATTTGTATCCTCTAAACAGGATACAAAACAGGGTGGATATATGAACAAAAAAATATCACAATATTACAATACAAGAAAAGAAAACAAAAAGATATTATCAGTTACACAGACAGAGAAGGAAGAAAAATTAGAAAAGAAAAACGACAAGTCAATAACAAATGAATGTAAAAAATAAAAAAAAAATATTAAAACCCAAATTAGAAGAAAAAAATAATAAAAACGAAAAGAAAATGGATTACAACGAATGTTTGTTGTTTGGTGTTGTTGCTATTGGTTGGTGGTGGTTGGTTGGTGGTCACATTCAAATGAGTGGAGTAGCAGTTTTTTTGGTGTTGTCAAAAGTTCACAAAACAAAAGATAAAAAACACAAAAAAGAGAAAGAAAGCTAAAATGTCTAACATTAATTACGTTGATGACAATGATGAGATGGGTGTTCAATGGATAAATAATGATGTGTGTGGTGGTAATAACAAACATAGGATATATAATTAATAATAAAAAGTGTTATATTTTTTCGATTCAGTTAAGTCGGTAATCTGTTGCACTGTTGCTATAATCGATTTCTAAGATATGTATGATGTCAAACACTAAATGAATGAATGATACTGTGATATTATGGTGGTGATATTATGGTAGTGACAAAAAAAAAAAACAAGTAAAATAGTATCAGTCGGTTATGCCGACAGATGTATACCCCCAGCCTTGAGTTACTATTATTCAAACTGTAGACCCCCTTAATGGGGGAGGTTCCGAAGCAGTTGGCCAATATTGACCAATTCGTATCTGACCTAAGACTGATAAAAATATTACAATGTGACAGATTTGGACTATATCGACTACTTCCTATACTTTATATGAGATATGGGCCAACATTTTCGAAAATGTGGAAAATATGAGTGAGGTAACAGATAAAGCGGGCAGAAGTATTCGATTTTCATACTTCATCTAATACAGATAAAAATTTTGGTATGGGCAAAATTACAAGAATATCGAACATTTATATTCAGTTTTATGGGAAAACATAAATTTCGGTACCAGAAGAAATGATCCGATCTGTACCATATTTGTAACAGATCTTGTGTAAAAAAATTTTTATAACAGGCCTTAATAAAAAAATATTGTGATATGTGTAATTTGAAGAGAATCGGGAGCTTATTAAGGATTTTATGATCGTTTTTTGTTATTCAAAACTTTGACCCTTGGTGGGAGAGGTACCAGAAGGAATGGTCCGATCTCTACCATCTTTGCAAGAGATTTTGTGTTTATGGAAATATCGGAATGTGCCAAGTCTGAATGGAATCGGATGTTAATTTCGCGTTTTATGAGCTTCATGGATACTCAAAATGTTGACCCTTTGTGGGGGAGGTACCAGAAGGTGTGGAACCATATGTCCCATCTCCCCACCAAACATTGGATTAATAAAAATAATGTGATGTGTGTAATTTGAAGAGAGTTGAATGCTTATTTGGCTTACTCTGAGCGTTTGGTTTCTCAAAATCTTGAACCCTATGTGGGGGAGGTACCAGAAGAAATGGCTCGATCTGTACCATCTTTATAACAGATCTTGTGTTTATGGAAATATTGGAATGTACCAAGTCTGAATGGAATCGGATGGTAATTTCGCGTTTCAGGAGCTACATGGATATTCCAAATTTTGACCCTTTATGGGGGAGGTACCAGAAGGAGTGGACCGATATATTCCATTTTCACACCCGACCTTGGGTTAATAAAAATATGGTGATGTTTGTAATTTGAAGAGATCCAGATGCTTATTTCGGATTTTATGATCCTTTTGGTTATTCAAAATTTCGACACATTGTTGGGAAGATGCCAGAAGGAGTGGACCGATATTGTCCATTTTCACACCTGCAGCAAAATCGGATTATCGTTTCTCTTTTTATGCAAAAAATATATTTTTTTTGAAAATTTCGAACATTTGTGGGGGAGGTACCAGAAGGAGTGGACCGATATATTCCATCTTAACACCAGACCTTGGGTTAATATAAATATTGGGATGTGTGAAATTTGAAGACAGTCGGACTCTTACATCGCATTTTATGAGAGTTGTAATTATTTAAAAATTTGACCCTTCGTGGGGGAGGTACCTGATGAAGTGGACCGATATTGCCCATTTTCGCACATGACCTAGCACTGATGAAAATATTAGGATCTGCAAAATTGGAGCAAAGTCGGATTATTTTTTTTATTATTTTTTTTTTTTTTTGAAATGACCTTCTCGACCTCCGAACTCGATCTAAGTTTGATCAGACAGGCAAACAGACGGATGGACGGACGGACATCGCTAGATCGACTCCAAATGTTCTGAAACGTATTTGGTCCAAAGAGACCTAGGGTCTAAAACCATTATTTCGACTAGGCACGTTTTGGCCGTATCAAATGATATATACCCTCTGTAGCCATATGGCTGAGAGTATAATTACATGAATATGAATTATTATTGTTCTCTTGCTTGATTGCTGGTATGCTATGAATGAGTGTACGATGATGAATTAGAGAGAGATTACAAACATTTCGGTGTGCTTAAATCTAATGCTACTTAATTTATAATATTTTATAATATAAACTAATTTTATATTTTATTATTACTATAAAAAATAAAATTTTAATTATTAACTGAAATAAAAAGTTAACAAAATAACAAATTCGGCGTGCAAAATATTTACTAAAATCTAAGGCAATACGACAATGGTTCAATTCTTAAAATTCTATTTTGTTTCGACAAAAAAAAATTGATATTTTATGGCAATGGGGGGTACTGATGATTTTTTGCTTTTGATTTAGGACAAAACATAAACACATAATTGGCATAAAAAAAAATACAATAGACGAACATCATGCATAATAAACAAAAAACATTTTATATAAAAATATATATCTAGAAAATGCGAAAAATAATGAATAACATAAACATGCTCAAACACGTAACAAATGTTTATTTTTTAATTACATATTCTTATTAAACATTGTTGCCCTCAGTAATACGTGATTTATTTATCTAGTTTTTTTATTGTAAATTCAGGAATTCAAAAACAATGGTTTTGAATATTATTTTAATGTTATATTCAGGTATTTATATGATGGAAACCATTTCGATTCGTCGCAAGGCTGATATAAGGTCTACTTTTTACAACAAGTTGACAATAAACTCAATAGTTTTTCTTTGTAGCGAATTTTTACTGGCCGGCCTTATATAGGCCATGCACATGGGCTCCCTGGTTAACCTTATGTAGGCCTTGGTTTTAGCATAAATCGATTTACCAGATATTGAAAATTCGACTAAATAGTTTTGTGGAAATTGTGATTTTTATATCCTCAGCCATATGGCTATATATATATATATATATATATATATATATATATATATATATATATATATATATATATATATATATATATATATATATTATATATATATATATATATATATATATATATATATATATATATATATATATATATATATATTATTTGATACGGTCAAAACGTTCCTAGTCGAAATAACGGTTTATAGACCCTAGGTCTCTTTACCAAATCCGTTTCAGGACATTAGAAGTCGATATAGCGATGTCCGTCCGTCTGTCTAGTTGGTGCGCACCATAACTTTCGAAGGTAGTATCCGATTTGATCCAAATCGGGTACATCGTAATATTATTGTCAAACTTAGATTGAGTTCGAAGATGGACAATATCAGTCCACTCCTTCTGGTATATCCCCCACAAAGGCTCAAAATTTTGAACATTCATGAAGCTCTTAAATACAATATTAACGTACTATTCCATTCAAACTCGCCGATGGTAGAGATCGTCCCATTTCTTCTGGTACTTCTCCACATAGGGTTCAAGATTTTGAATATTTTTGTTGACCCAAGGTTTGGCGTGAAGATGGAATATATAGGTCAACTCCTTCTGGTACCCCCCCCCCCCACAAAGGGCGAAATTATCATCTGATTTCATTCAGATTTTGCACAGCTCAAAATTGCTATCAAAACAAAACAAGGGTCAAAATTTTGAATATCTATGAAGTTCATAAAACACTCAATGAGTACAGATTTTTTTCAAACTTAGCACATCCTAACATTCCCGCTAACACACGACCTGCCGTGTAGATGGAATATATCTCAAATAGTCAAGATTATAAATGCTAAGTAAGCATCCGATTCCTTTCAGATTTCACTTATCCAAATATTTCTATTAACACAAGGTCTGGTGTGAAGTTGATAGATATCGACCTACCCCTCATACCATACCAATCTCCCCCACAAAGGGTCACAATTTTCAATATTTATGTCTCTTATAATTTGCGGAAGAAGTCAGCGATTCTTTTAAAACTTGGAAACCTGAGATCTGATGTGAATATAAAGTTCATCGGCTCAGTCCTTTTGATATCTCCCCCACAAAAGTTTTAAAATTATTCGCATTAACTTGGAAAGAAGTATTAGATGAAGTGAAATGCTTCGGCGCACTATATTTGGTATCTCATGCACATTTCATAATTTTCCAAAAATTACTACATATCACATGTAGAGATCTGGAACAGTTATATGAGACAATATTGACTCACTACTTATAAACCATTAAAATATATCCAATCCCAATTTTACATATCGAAGAAACGGTTTCCAACACACACCTGGGATTGGATTCTCATTCTATGAAAATAATGTCCTTTATAATAATTTTTATTAGACATATCTTTCGATTGTAAAAGTTTTTATTTTATATTTTCATAGAAAAAGAATTGAGGTCCTGATTATTTATTTTTATACTTTTTCAGCTATTTTTTAAGATAATCTATGCATTATAAAGGTATACATCAAAAAATTTGTGTTGAGTTTAATTTTATGCAGTTATGATTTATTAATGAATTTAAAACAGACGTATTAGTTTCGGGTCAAGCTTAATGTTATTGAAAAAAAAAAAAAAACAAGTTAACAAACAATGCGATAAAAACGACACAATGCATTAAAGAGAACAATGTTTAATAAAGTATGTATGTATTACATGGCAAATGCATTAGCACAGGAAACAGTTTTTTTAATTCGTTCTCAGAAGTTAATAAAAAAAAAATTAAATAAAAAATGACTAAAAGAAAATGATGTAGAAATTTTATTTTTGAAAAAATTACATACCTCCTCTTTGCTCTCCAAACGATCCTTGATGTGATTACAAAACACCGGCAATAGAATGGCACGACATTCGGGTAAATGGAATAGTTTTGAGTCCACAAAATCTTTGATGCAACCCATTTTCGATTGAGTCAAGCGTCGTGGTGGGAATTGTTTTAAAATGTTGACAATGACAATGCTGAAAAAATACAGGGGAATTAAAATATAAAAAAAGCTATGGGAAAAAGAAAGAAACCTGTGGGGAAAAGTCAAAAGTCGGGCGGGGCCGACTATATGATACCCTACACTACTATGTATATATAGTAGAGCTCCCGTAACAAAAGAAATTATTTGAAGTAGATCATCTACCACCTATCAGCATTTGGCTTTAGAGCAGTTACAGTTTGGTTTCAGAGGGAACTAATATATGGGAGGTATATCCAATTCTGAATCGATTTTCACTAAATTTGACGCACGGATATTTTAATCTTTTTTACCAAATAACATTGCTATAGAGGGCATGATATCACTTCAAGAAGGATTATATTAATTATAATAATCTCGAGCAGAGTTGCGTCAAATGGAAACTTACGTCCCGAAAATCGATCCATTTGAGCTGATATTAGCCATTATTTGCACAATAAACCTGAAATCGGATTATGGATATATATGGGAGCTATATCCAAATTTTAGCCGCTCTCGATAAAAGTTGGCAAAGGTATTTTTGGGCTCTATCTGATATCAAGTACCAAACATCATTTTTGTCGAATGCATATTACGAATGTGACGGACTTAAACACCAAATCGAATGAAACATATATATGGGAGCAATGGCTATATCTGAACCGATTTTCTTAAAATTTGATGTACTTGCTTCGAGACTGAATTCGGTCGGATAAGCCAAAATTCAGGTCATTTGGACTGATATTGGCTATTTGGTGCACAATTAACCCGGAGTCGGTTGAAGATATATTTGGGAGCTATATTCGAATCTGAACCAATCTTGATAAAATTTGGCAGAGGTATTTCTGGGCTCTATCTGATATCTGAAATCTGATAACAAACATCATTCCTGTGGGATGCATATTACGAATGTGGGGAACTTAAACACCAAATCGGATGAAAGCTATATATGAGAGCTATTGCTATATCCAAATCTAAAGCTATATCCAAATCTGAAGCTATATCCAAATCTGAAGCAATCTTGACAGAATTGGAAACACTTATTTCAGAGCTGTATCTGATATCTGGTACCAAATATCATTCTGTGCGTGTGAGGGACTTTAGACCCCAAATCGGATAAAACAAATATATGGGAGCTATAGCTATATATGAACCGATTTACACCATATTTGAAGTGTCGAATGAATTCTGTGGTATTTGTCAAAATCCACATCATTTGGGCTGATATTAGCCATTTGTTGCACAATAAACATCATATCGGATAAAGATATATATGGGAGCTATATTCTAATCCGAACCGATCTCGATAAAATTTGACAGAGTTATTTTTGAGCAGTATCTGATGTAAGGTACCTAATATCATTCTTGTGGCGTGCAATAACGCATGTGAAGGACTTGAAACCCCAAATCGGAAAAAACATGTGTATGGGAGCTATGGGAATACCAAAAGAGATGTTCTTTAAATTTGATGTACTTGCTTCCAGACTCACTTTAGAGGGAGGGGAAAAAGAAAGAAACCTGTGGGGAAAAGTCAAAAGTCGGGCGGGGCCGACTATATGATACCCTACACTACTATGTATATATAGTAGAGCTCCCGTAACAAAAGAAATTATTTGAAGTAGATCATCTACCACCTATCAGCATTTGGCTTTAGAGCAGTTACAGTTTGGTTTCAGAGGGAACTAATATATGGGAGGTATATCCAATTCTGAATCGATTTTCACTAAATTTGACGCACGGATATTTTAATCTTTTTTACCAAATAACATTGCTATAGAGGGCATGATATCACTTCAAGAAGGATTATATTAATTATAATAATCTCGAGCAGAGTTGCGTCAAATGGAAACTTACGTCCCGAAAATCGATCCATTTGAGCTGATATTAGCCATTATTTGCACAATAAACCTGAAATCGGATTATGGATATATATGGGAGCTATATCCAAATTTTAGCCGCTCTCGATAAAAGTTGGCAAAGGTATTTTTGGGCTCTATCTGATATCAAGTACCAAACATCATTTTTGTCGAATGCATATTACGAATGTGACGGACTTAAACACCAAATCGAATGAAACATATATATGGGAGCAATGGCTATATCTGAACCGATTTTCTTAAAATTTGATGTACTTGCTTCGAGACTGAATTCGGTCGGATAAGCCAAAATTCAGGTCATTTGGACTGATATTGGCTATTTGGTGCACAATTAACCCGGAGTCGGTTGAAGATATATTTGGGAGCTATATTCGAATCTGAACCAATCTTGATAAAATTTGGCAGAGGTATTTCTGGGCTCTATCTGATATCTGAAATCTGATAACAAACATCATTCCTGTGGGATGCATATTACGAATGTGGGGAACTTAAACACCAAATCGGATGAAAGCTATATATGAGAGCTATTGCTATATCCAAATCTAAAGCTATATCCAAATCTGAAGCTATATCCAAATCTGAAGCAATCTTGACAGAATTGGAAACACTTATTTCAGAGCTGTATCTGATATCTGGTACCAAATATCATTCTGTGCGTGTGAGGGACTTTAGACCCCAAATCGGATAAAACAAATATATGGGAGCTATAGCTATATATGAACCGATTTACACCATATTTGAAGTGTCGAATGAATTCTGTGGTATTTGTCAAAATCCACATCATTTGGGCTGATATTAGCCATTTGTTGCACAATAAACATCATATCGGATAAAGATATATATGGGAGCTATATTCTAATCCGAACCGATCTCGATAAAATTTGACAGAGTTATTTTGAGCAGTATCTGATGTAAGGTACCTAATATCATTCTTGTGGCGTGCAATAACGCATGTGAAGGACTTGAAACCCCAAATCGGAAAAAACATGTGTATGGGAGCTATGGGAATACCAAAAGAGATGTTCTTTAAATTTGATGTACTTGCTTCCAGACTCACTTTAGAGGGATGTAAAAAATTTCAGATGATTTGAACTTATATTGGCCACTTGGTGCGCAAATAACCCGAAATCGGTTGAAGATATATGGGAGCTATATCTAAATCTGATCCGATTATCACCAATTTCAATAGGGGTTGTCCTTGGGCCAAACAAATATTGTTTGGAAATTTTCAGCTCAGTCGGATAATAAATGTGACCTGCATTTTGTTCTCAAGAATACATGGATAGACGGACCGACATGTATAAATCGACACAGAAAGTGATTCTAAGAAGATCATCAAAGGTAAATCGGCAAAACCAATTGTTACTTGTTTTTTTTTTACTTTCCTATATCTCAATTCTTATTAACTTTATTTTGGCTTAAGATCAATTGAAAACATCAGTGTTTTATTTTTATAATTTTGATTTTTATTTTCCAATATTTCGACAGTCATTTTCAGGAAAAATTTTTCTTCTTGTTTCAACGTCTATGCTAAACTCCTATATCCTTTATATTTTAAAAACCACCCTTTGCATTTTAATACTCACCTCAACCGAACCGGATCAAAAACTTGCATTAAATCCGTGGCAATAATGTGAAGATTTTTCAGCAATGCTCCCTCTGATTTCAGGAGGTCCGTGGGACAGGCAATCATTTTGATAAACATTTCCAAAAGTTCTAAAAAAAAAACAAATCAAAATAAACACATTTTTAAATACCATACCGAAAATATTGTATAATTTTCACTTACCATGTAGCTTATTGGCAAAATCTTCATAATCCGAATTGCCATTGATGGCGGCAAACAATATGCGCGAGCGTATGATAAATTTCATGACATAATGTAAATATCTTGTGGTCTTATACAGACGTTTAACCTCGATGCGTTCATCGATCTCAATACCATCGACTGATTTTTCCTTTGGATCAATTGCTTCTTGGACATTGCGTTGAAGGACATCAATGAGTTTGCTATATAAATAATAAAATTTAATTAATAAATTTTAATTATAAAAATTGCATTCCACTCACGCATAAGCCAATGTTGCTGAAAAACTCTCATTGATATAGACATCCAATACGGTTAAGAAATGTTGATATTTCAAATCGGACACCGTTTCAATCAAGTGAATAATGCTCATAAAGACCAACTGATCATATTTTTCGGGATTATCATTTTCCACAAGGATATTGAATAGGGCATCTAAAATGTCTTGTAAAAATTTCACAACCTCTTCACCAGGTACATTGGACAAGGCGTTAAGGGATTCTTCTAGCGTTTCACGATGGGCAGACCAATTTAACAAACCCAAAAGGCTTACTGAAATTGTTAAAATGTTAAATTAGAAAAAGTTTTGAAATTATTAGTGATTTTATGAAATACTTACCACTTTGAGTCAATTTTGTGCTGCACAAATTAACGCCAATCACCATTTGATCTTTGGGTAATAAAGAAAAACCACCATTGGAAGGTTTTGCTCCTTGCAATTCGTTGACAGTGGCCGGCAACTCCAAATAAACGTTGTTGGAATTGTTTTTATCCAATTTTTTGTGATCGATTTTATAAACGGCCAATATGTGTTGTCCTTGCTGGAAAATAAAAATAAAAAAACATTAGATAAATAAATGACTCAAATTTAATTAATTTTCAGGAAATTTGAGTCAAAGTTGCATCTCTAAGGAAACGAAATAAGAAACACTGACTACCAGAGAAAGAAGATGCAGGTTTCATTTTTCTTCGTTTGAAAAAACAACACCACACTAGAAGCCTGAATAGTTTTAAAGGTCCAACAATGTGTCCCATTGAAAAAGTTTATGACTTCGGAATAGAAGACATTTGGAGACCACAAAGGCAAAAGGTTTTTACTTGTAAAAAATATATATTAGGTTAGAAAATTTTAATATCGATTCGCTAGAGCATATACAAGCAGCGAAACATTAAAAACGATGTTAAGTTTGTCTATGCGTTGCGGAGACATATATATATTTTTTTCAATTTGTTATTTAATATTTCACGCCACTAATTATGGCCTGCAGATTCCTTCAATGAAAATGCATATGCATTTCTGCGGGAAATGGGACTAGGACCTTAAATCTTATCATTATCTTATCTTCACTTATCCTTTATCATTATGGCTAGTTTTCAATAACCCGGACCTATGTTAAGACTTTTTAGTAGGGATGTCTTCTACCTATTAATAATTCCAAATAAAAAAGCTGTAAGTTCGGCCGGGCCTAACTTTGAATACCCTCTACGATTTGGAATGAATTTGGCAATTTTCAAAAAAAAAAAAATAAATAAATAAATTCCGTTAAAAATTCTGATAAAAATTAAAAAAAAATACCGAATGTAGCCATTATGTTAGGGTCTATACGGCGACATGGACCTTTTGTCACAACCCGAACAATATTCAAATGAAATTTGAAAAAAAAAAAAATCGGTGAGTGATGTAGCTAAAATTATCAAAAGACCGAATATCGGGAGATACCCTTATATGGGAGCTATACGAAGACGTGGACCTGCACAGACAATTCTCTGTCATAGGATGTAGTATCCATTACGAACTCCAAATTAGCAAATTTGAAACATTTCCGGTGAATAATTTCGCTAAAATCATCAAAATACCGAATATCGGGAGGTACCACTATATGGGGGCTATACGTAGACGTGGACCGGCACAGACAATGTTTTATATTAGGCTGTATTATCCATTACGAACTTCAAATACCAAATTTGAAACAATTCGGGCGAATAATGTTGCTAAAGTTATCAAAATACCGAATATCGGGAGGTACCGTTATATGGGGGCTATACGAAGACGCGGACCTGCAAAGATAATTTTCTGTCATAGGATGTAGCACCCATTACGAACATCAAATGCGAAATTTGAAGCAATTCCGGTGAATAATGTCATTAAAATCATCAAAATACCGAATATAGGGAGATACCAATATATGGGGGCTATACCAAAACGCGGTCCTGCACAGATAATTTTCTGTCATAGGCTTAAGTATCCATTACAAACTTCAAATACCAAATTTGAAGCAATTCCGGTAAATAATGTCGCTAAAATCATCAAAATACCGAATATCGAAAGGTACCGTTATATGGGGGCTATACGAAGACATGGACCCACACAGACAAATTTCTGTCATAGGCTGTAGTATCCATTACGAACTCCAAATACCAAATTTGAAACAATTCCGGTTAATAATGTCGCTAAAATCATCAAAATACCGAATATCGAAAGGTACCATCATATGGGAGCTATACGAATATGTGGACCTGCACAGACAATTTTCTGTCACAGGCTGCAGCATCCATTACGAACTTCAAATACCAAATTTGAAACAATTCCGGTGAATAATGTCGCTAAAATCATCAAAATGCCGAATATCGGGAGGTACCAATATATGGGGGCTATTCGAAGACGTTTACCTGCACTGACAATTTTCCGTCATAAGCTGTAGTATCCATTACGAACTTCAAATACTAAATTTGGAACAATTCCGGTGAATAATGTAGCTAAAATCACCAAAAAACCGAAAATAGGGAGGTACAATTATATGGGGGCTATTCGAAGATGTGGACCTACATGGCCCATTTTCAATACCAAAAGTCCTGCAGACATAATATAGATTTCAGTAAAATTTTATCAACTTAATTCATTTCGTTCGGAAGCTAGAGTGATTTTCACAGACGTCCATCCGTCCAAGCATTGCTAAGTCGACATAGAATTTTATGCTGATCAAGAATATATATACTCTGTGAGGTCTAAAATGTGTATTTCGAGGAGTTACAAATTGAATGACAAACTTAATATACCATCCATACTATGGTAGAGGGTATAACAAGTTAAAGAGTCAATCAGTCGGTATCACCGACATCTGTCTGTATATCCTCAGCAAGTTTATTTAAATAAATGTACATACATATGGCTGAGCATATTTTATCATAGCACCGGTTGGGTTAAATTGGAACCAAATCAGTTGGCTTCGAAATTTTTAAATGTAGGGTCACCAAACCTTTAGAAATACTCAATATCTTTGTGAAATAATCTTCGACTTGTTAAGGACAGTGAATACCAAATTGCAGGCCATTCTGCGGGAAATTGGACTAGGAACTTAAAACTTGGCATTGTATGGGTGGTTTTTTTATAGAACCCGAACCTAAGTTGAGACTTGTTAAAAGGGATGTGTTCTAACTATTAATAATTTATTAATTCATTCAAGTTATACCCTTTATTTAAATAAGTATCTCCGTTTATTCAAATATATTTTGACTCGCATTTATTATTATTCAAACCTTCATCGGGGAGGTTTCAAAGGAGTCTGCCAATATTTTTCATTTCGTATCTGACCTAAATTTGTTATAAATATTGCAACGGGGCAGATTTGAACAATATCGAATACTTCCTTCATTTTTTCTGAGATATGTGATAATTTTTGAAAAATGTTAAAATCTGCGTGAAGTACCATGTATAGTGGGGAGATACGAAAAGAAGTGGGCCGATAAATTTCATATTCACATCAAATCTTGAGAGAAATATTTAGCTATGCCAAGTTTTGAAAAATATCGCTGAATTGTTTCGCAAGTTATGAGAGATATAAGTATTGACAATTGGGACCCTATTTTTGGGGAAGGTATCAGAAGGAGTGGACCGATACCCACCATTCTCACACCAGATCTTGAGTTAGAAGAAATATTAGAATGTGCGAAATTGAGAAAGAATCAGACGCTTATTTCGCATTATATAACCGTTTTATTATTAAAAATGATGACAACCCCTCTGTGGGGGAGGTACCTGAAGGAGTAGGCCAATACATGCCATCTTCGCACTAGATCTTTCGTTAGTATACATATTGGGATATGTGAAATTTAAAGAGAATCGCATGCTTATTTAACTTTCACTTATTCAAAATTTTGATCTCTTTGTGGGGGAGGTACCTGAAGGGGTAGACCGATATATCCCATATTCGCAACAGATCTTGAGTTCATATAAATATTGGGATGTACCGTGAATGAAAAGAACCCTATGCTTATTTCTGATTTTATGATCGTTTAGGTTATTCAAAACTTTGACCATTTGTGGGGGAGGTAGCAGAAGGAATGGTCCGATATCTACCATCTTTATAACAGATATTGTGTTGATGGAAATATTCAGATGTGCCAAGTCTGAATGGAATCGCATGTTAATTTCGTGTTGTATGAGCTTCATGAATATTCCAAATTCTGAGCCTTTGTGGGGGAAGTACCAGAAGGAGTGGACCGCTATATTCCATCTTCACACCTGATCTTGTGTTAGTAGAAATAATGGGAAGTGTGAAATGTGAAGAGAACCGGATACTTATTTCGAATTTTATGATCGTTTTTGATATTAAAAAAATTGACCCTTTGTGGGGGAGGTACCGGAAGAAAAGGTCCGATCTCTTCCATCACTATAACAGATCTTCTGTTGATGGAAATATTGAGATGTGCCAAGTCTAAATGAAATCAGAATTTCATAAGATTTCATGTTTTGTGAGCTTCATGGATATTCAAATTTTTGAACCTTTGTGGGGGAGGTACCAGAAGGCGTGGGCCGATATATTCCATCTTCACACCAGATCTTGGTTTAATAAAAATATTGTGATATGTGTAAGTTAAAGACAATCGGACTCTGGCATCACATTTTATAAGAGTTATAATTATTCAAAATGTTGACCCTTTGAGGTTGAGGTACCTGATGGAGTGGACCGATATTGTCAATTTTCGCACCTGACTTAGCACTAATGCGAATATTAGGATTTGCAAATTTGGAGTATAATCGGATTATCCTTTCTCTATCTGTGCAATAAAATGTTTTTTTTTTTTTTTTTTTTTTTTGAAGATATCGAATTTTTGTAGGGGGAGTTACCAGAAGGAGTGGACCAATGTTAACCATCTCCGAAGTCGATCTATGTTTAATAATAATATTACGATGTACCAAGTTCAAACCAAATTGGATACTCCCTTCGAGAGTTAGCCAGACGGACGGACATCGCTAGATCGACTCTAAATGTCCTGAAACGGATTTAGTCCAAAGAGACCTGGAGTCTAAAATCGATATTTCGATGAGCCACGTTTTGGCCTTATCAAATAATATATACCCTCTGTAGCCATATGGCTGAGGGTAGCCAGACGGACGGACATCGCTAGATCTACCCTAAATGTCCTGAAACGGATTTAGCACAAATAGACCTAGAGTCTAAAATCGATATTTCGATGAGGCACGTTTTGGTCTTATCAAATAATATCTGTAACCTCTGTAGACCTATGGCTGAGGGCATATGCCTTTTAATCTATTCTACTATTTTAAGGAAAATAGGACTTTCTTCCAACTTACCGTTATTGTTGTACCATTATCCTGCATTAGTTTAATATAAGACAGGCCAAAAGGCTTCTCAGATTTATCTTTTTGTTCATTGGAACTGCGATGTTTGAAGACAAATTTCAAATGGCACTGTTTGAAGTCATCAATGGGCACGTGGATCTGAAATGAAAATTATTCTTTAAAATAAAAATTCCCACTCAAAAAAATGGTACACCTTACTGACCTTAAAAGTTTCCAACCATTTGGGTTTATCATCATGATAGTACACCACCGATTTGTATTCATCAATGGGCGCCAGGCCGGCTCCAATGCTCATCACCCCGGGGACACAGTGGCCCTGTTCATTGCAAACACTTACGGTGACCTCTACATTCTTTTCCGATGTCTTGGCAATGCGGGCAAATTCTCCTGAGCACAGTGTCAAATATAAATCATTACGTACATCACCGGGCAATATGACCTCAGGGAAACCCATTTTACGGGCAATGGGTACATTGGTGTGTAGCAGACGAGGGAACTCCTCTTTGATTTGTTTGATATCGCCCTGAAGTACCTCCACAGTGACACACATTCTTGAGTCGATTTTGCCCCAATCTTTGTTGGCAATCAGTTTTCTCAACGTAATGTCCATGTTATCCTTTTCGCATAGGATAAAGGGCATATCCACGTTTCCCTTGAAGTCCTCGGGTTTATTGATGATGGGCGTTAGATCCTTGAAGGCCACACCAAATGGCCGGCGCATAATGTATTCGGTGCCACTGAATGAGCCACTCGAACTAATCGATAGCTGTGAATGTTTCTTGCTGGCCGCTGTCAGCATGGTATTGGTGATACTGGCGCGCTTTGAATCGTTTTCCTTTACCTCCATACAGCCAATGCGTACCACATAGCAGACCAAATACATTTTCGAAATACTGACATCATTCTTGCTCAGATCGGTGAATAGAACTCGATTGTTGTCGAATTGATCGATATCGCGGGCAATGCCCGTTCGTGACCATTTTACCACATAATTTTCGCTTATCGGTCGATGCGATTCTCCATCGAAGAGGGTGAATATTAGATCGGAATCTTCTTGGAATTTGCATACAAAGGCATTCACATGCAGCAGAATGTTGTGCGAGAAGTTCTTGTATGGCTTGGGGCCGTGGTGGATGGTGCGGGGGCGCTACAAAAAAATATTGAAAAAAATTGTATTTATTTCAAAATCAAATGAATTCAATTCACTTACATTGGCTTTAATGATCCTGTTGACGGCATTCATGTGATGCTCATACAGTTCGGTGGTGCAGATTTTCGATGTATCCAAAATATCACCACTTTCGTCGCGCACCACCATATCCAAACCCAGCAAATTGTTGCCCGTGTCAATGGTGGATGTGGCCTCCAGTTTGATTTTACGCATTTCATCCACTGGCAGATTGCCGGATATTAGCAATGCCCGATTTTTGCTCAAATCAATCATTTTCAGGCGTATGCAATTAAAGTCCGGATGATTGATCTGCAAAGAGATGGAGTGAGAGAGAGGGAGGGAGGGCGGATTAGATTAGTTTAAAAATAATAATTGTTTACAGTCCATTTGTTGAATAGGAGATAAGAAATTAATAAAAAAAATAGCAACAACAACAACAAAATCTATTATTGCTTCTGCCGTGGCTACTGACGGCCTGTCAATCAATAAATGAATGAATTGAAAAAATTATTACTCCCCAATGGGGTTTATGGGTCTCCCAAGGGATATTTCGATATTCACTGAAGTGGGGAGTTTGCAATGAGCTTCTAAAAGGACTATCCAACAACAACAAAAAATATCAGGGAAAATCCAGCAGGTTATTATAGTAGAGCTAAAAATAGAAGACATCTGTATCAGCGATTTGAAGCTGGCCATCGCAAAGTAACCTAAATAGAGGGGGGCAAGTTCCCTCTCTGGCAGATTTTTGACAACTTTCGGATTAAAATTCCTTGGAATCCTAACATTTTTTAAGCATATATAGTGCCTTCGGCAATCTTGCGTATAAGATCGCGAGGAATTTTTGATGGAAATTTTTAACAAGACAAGTAAGTGGCCTTTTTTTGTAATATATGGTTAAAAACTTCCTTTAAACAGGATCCTAGGACGTCAAAATATTCTACAAAATTATTTGTCATAAAATTCTACTATAGGTCCTAGAAGACATCAAATCTTACCTAAACGTCACGAAAAGTCAAACGCCATAATTTTTAAATTTTTTAAAATTTTTTTTTTTTGAGTGAAAGCAAAAAATCTCGGATGTAGCATCAGATTTTAGAATAAGTTTAGATTTGTTCGAATTGGCCACCTTTGGCACGAATTATGGCCTTCAAACGGCCAATGAAACCGTCACACGCTGCCCGAATGTAGCTCTGCGGTATTTTGGCCCATTCCCAGCGAAGAGCTTGCTTGAGGTAATCGACACTTTGGTAGTTTTTGGTGCCAACCTTGCTTTCCAAAATATTGCAGACACAATAGACCAACGGATTGGTATCCGGAGATTTTGGTGGCCATTGTGCGCTGGAAATGAAGCGAGAAACCTCATTTTGTAACCATTCTTGGGTGGCGTGTGCTGAGTGCGATGGTGCTGGTTCTGTTGTCCAATGGCCAAGGTCTGCGGCCAAAATGTTAGCGTGCCCAAGGCTTTAATACAACCTCCACAATATTTTCGCGATAATATTCGGCATTTATTCTGATGCCACCACAGTCGATTAATACGAGCGGAGAGCGTCCATCGGCTGTTATGGCGGCCCACACCATCACCATGGCCGGCGCTTGAGTCCTGGTGGTCAACCGAAGGTGCACGATAATTTTGTTTGTTTACAAACTGCTGGACAACGAATGTTTTCTCATTGGAGAAAACCAAATTCGGCAGTTCACCACTTTCGGTCAAGCGAAGCAACTCTTTAGCTCTTTTGAGACTATTTTCTGTCTTTTGCGGTGTAAGTTCTTGCACTTTTTGGAATTTCGATGGCTTTACCCCGAGCTCATTTTTCAATATTTGACGAATGGAATATTGCGATGTGTTAAGCTCACGAGTCATTTTTGGCCACTGCGATGCGGGTTTCTGTGCAATTGTCTGTGCAGGTCCACATCTTCGTATAGCCCCCTTATAACGGTACCTCCCGATATTCGGTATTTTGATGATTTTAGCGACATTATTCACCGGAATTGTTTCAAATTAAGTATTTAGAGTTCGTTATGGGAACTACAGCCTGTGACAGAAAATTGTCTCTGCAGGTCCACGTTTTCATATAGCCCTCCATATAACGGTACCTCCCGAAATTCGGTATTTTGATGATTTTAGCGACATTATTAACCGGAATTGTTTCAAATTTGGTATTTGAAGTTCGAAATGGATACTACACTCTAAGACAGAAAATTGTCTGTGCAGGTCCACGTTTTCATATAGCCCCCATATAACGCTACCTCCCGATATTCGGTATTTGGATGATTTTAGCGACATTATTCACCGGAATTGTTTCAAATTTGGTATTTGAAGTTCGTTATGGGAACTACAGTCTGTGACAGAAAATTGTCTGTGCAGGTCCACGTCTTCGTATAGCCCCCCATATAACGGTACCTCCCGATATTCGGTATTTTGATGATTTTCGGGGCATTATTCACCGGAATTGTTTCAAAATTTGGTATTTGAAGTTCGAAATGGATACTACAGCCTAAGACAGAAAATTGTCTATACAGGTCCACGTCTTCGTATAGGCCCTATACATCAGTACCTCCCTATATTCGGTATGTTGATGATTTTAGCGACATTATTCGCCGGAATTGTTTCAAATTTGGTATATTAAGTTCGAAATAGATACTACAGCCTAAGACAGAAAATTGTCTGTGCAGGTCCAGGTCTTCGTATAGCCCCCCATATAACGGTACCTCCCGATATTCGGTATTTTGATGATTTTAGCGACATTATTCACCAGAATTGTTTCAAATTACGTATTTAGAGTTCGTAATGGGAACTACACTCAGTGACAGAAAATAGTCTATGCAGGTCCAGGTCTTCATATAGTCCCCATATATCAGTATCTCCCTATATTCGATGTTTTGACGAGTTTAGGTACAGAACCCACCGAAATTGTTTGAGATGTCGTATTTGAAGTTCGAAATGGATGCTACAGCCTGTGACAGAAAATTGTCTATGCTGATCCAGGTCTTCGCACAGCTCCGATATAACGGTGCCTCCCTATATACAATATTTTGATGATTTTATCTACATTATTCACCGTTTATTTCAAGTTTCGAATTTTAATATGGTAATGGCTTATGACAAACAATGCCTATGTAGGCCCACGTCGTATAGACCCCAACATAACGCTATATTTGATATTTTTAAAATTTTAACAGAATTTTTTGAGGATTTTATTTTTTGAAAATTTCCAAATTCGTTCCAAATGGTGGAGGGTATTCAAAGTTCGGCCTGGCCGAACTTTCTGCTTTTTAACTTGTTTTAGCTCTACTTTCATAATCTGCTGCATTTTCCCCGTAATCATTGAAAAAATGTAATTCTGTCGTGTCATTTTCCATTAGTAATAATTTTTTAAGGACCAATAGACTTATTATTTTGGATTTTTATGAAAAGTTTTTTCAAGGACCAATAGAAGAATTGACCAAACAAAAAAAAAATATTGAAGAATATTTTTTAAAGGATTATCTGGTCTTTTATCGTGGATTTAATTGGATTGGATTTTTAGGAACAATATTGGCATAAGTTTCTGTTTGATTTCACCCTCCTCATTCAAAGACTAACATGTACCCCCTTTCCAAGAGGAGAAGGGGGGGGGAATTGCCTTCCCCTTTTTTACTCACCAGATAATATTGCTTTATTATGCTGCCCCATTCCAGCAGAACTTTTGTGATTTCCTCAACGATTTCAGTTCGCTGGATGCAATATTCACCATTGACAATTTTATATTCGCAAAGATGGATGTAGGTTTTGGGAAATATGCCACGCTGGTCTTTGTTTCTGGAAAAAAAAGAGAGAGATTATAAAAAAATTATTTTAATTTGAAAAAAAAAAAATTAAATAAAAAATAACATTTTTATGTTGTGCCCCACTGAAGAGTGGCTGATGGATAGATGTTTGATCCCCCTCCGCACACAAATCAACATAACACATTTGTTGAGATATTAAAAAAAATTGTGTCATTTCAAAAAAAAAATTGAAAAATTGACTTGGAGGGGATATGAAATAATTTATAAACTTGAGGAAGTTTAGAATATATTTTGTTGCTCTAAATTTTTCTGTTTTTGCTGGCGCGGATGACAGAATAACAAGTAAAAGTCATTTTTCTGTTGTTGTTGTTATTGCAACACATGTCCGAAGACCAATTGACCTTCAATGTTAACCCCCCTTCTTTTTGGATTCAATTGAATATTAATTGCCATTGATTTGTTGTTGTTGTCTTTTTTAGATATTTATGTCAGCCGTTATGGATGTCAACATTGTGTCCAGCTCAATGTCAGTCAGTCAATCAAACATAAATAGCAAATTTATTTGTTTTTGGGAAGAGTTTTAAGCGGAACACATATTCATCAATCAAGTTTTAATTAAATTGGTTAACTGTCAGAATTATAGGGAAATTTTCCAGGGGACAGAGTATCCACACCACACGAAGAAGAAAAGAAGACCAGAACGTCTTCTCGTAGAAGACCAGAAGGTCTTCTGATTGAGGTCAGAAGATCTTCCTAGAGAAGACCAGAAGGTCTTCTTATCGAAGGCAAAAGGCAGGTATTCTTATAGAAGGCCAGAAGGTCTTCTTCCAATAGAAGATCAAAAGGTCATCTCATAGAAGAACAGAAGTTCTTCTCATATAAGAGCAGATGGTCTTTTCATTGAAGAGCAGAAGATCTTCTTATAAAAGACCAGGAGGTCTTCTTATAGACCACAAAAGGTCTTCTTATAGAAGACCAATAAAGGTCTTCCTATCGAAGACCACAGAAGGTCTTCTTTATAGAAGACCACAAAAGGTCTTCTTATAGAAGACCAGGAGGTCTTCCAATATAAGAACAACAAGTCTTCTTCACATAAAAGACCAGAAGGTCTTCCCATAGAAGACCAGCAGGTCTTCTTCCTATAGAAGACCACAGAAGGAGATCTTCTTCTAGAAGACCACTAAAGGTCTTCCTATCGAAGACCACAGAAGGTCTTCTTTATAGAAGACCACAAAAGGTCTTCTTATAGAAGAACAGGAGGTCTTCTCACAGAAGACCCGAAGGTCTTCCAATATAAGAACAGCAGGTCTTCTTCACATAAAAGACGAGAAGGTCTTCCCATAGAAGACCAGCAGGTCTTCTTCCTATAGAAGACTAGGAGGTCTTCTTCCTATAGAAGACCACAGAAGGAGATCTTCTTCTAGAAGACCACAAAAGGTCTTCTTATAGAAGACCACTAAAGGTCTTCCTATCGAAGACCACAGGTCTTCTTTATAGAAGACCACAAAAGGTCTTCTTATAGAAGAGCAGGAGGTCTTCTTCTTATAGAAGAGCAGGAGGTCTTCTTCTTATAGAAGAGCAGGAGGTCTTCTTCTTATAGAAGACCAGGAGGTCTTCTTCTTATAGAAGAGCAGGAGGTCTTCTTCTTATAGAAGACCAGGAGGTCTTCTTCTTATAGAAGACCAGGAGATCTTCTTCTTATAGAAGACCAGGAGATCTTCTTCTTATAGAAGACCAGGAGATCTTCTTCTTATAGAAGACCAGGAGGTCTTCTTCTTATAGAAGACCAGGAGGTCTTGTTCTTATAGAAGACCAGGAGGTCTTGTTCTTATAGAAGACCAGGAGGTCTCCTTCTTATAGAAGACCGGGAGGTCTTCTTCGTATAGAAGAGCAGGAGGTCTACTTACAGATTGAAGATCAGAATAAGGTCCAGAAGGTCTTCTCACAGAAGACCAAAAAGGCTTCTCACAGATGACCAGAAGTTCTTCTTATAGAAGACCAGTAGGTATTCTTCTTATAGAAGACCAGAAGGTCTTCTTCTTATATAAGACCAAGTCTTCTTATAGAAGACCTGTAGGTCTTCTATAGAAGACCAGGAGGTTTTTTTTGTCAAAATTCGTTTTTTTTTCTTCATGGGGTAGGTTCAAGAATCTTTTGTTCTGGACCTAACGCCAGTTTTTTTTTATAAGTTTTCCATTTGAATAATGTCTTTTTGTTGTTCTGTCTGAAGCTGTTTTTTTCAAGACAGCAGTGTTTGGCGGCTACTCGCCATAAAACAAACAATCAAATATTTGACCTCTTTCAGATACTTTTTCATGTTGGTGACCCATAAATTACTTTTTTTTTGTTGCATAGCGGTTGTTACTGTTTTGGTTGTGTTGTTGTTCTTGTGATTCTAGAAATTCTTAAAGGTTTGAATTTTCTTTCATAACCTTCTCTTTCAACGAGAAACGACAACAAAACGAACGACACTCATCATCAGCAACCGCCAACACCATCATCAATCAGAGTTGAGAACCCAACAACGGCGTAGAACTAAAGAAAAAGGCAGGCGACTGATAAGAATTGCACACCGAGAAAAATAAAATGTTTTTAGGAATTTTTTTTATTCTTATCCCAAAGTGTGGGGTGGGTTATTGGGAGTATATAGTCGGAACACATACGTTGCACAAAAAAAAATAAAATAAAACTCTTCTCAAGAATGTTTTCATCTCAAAGGTCGAATATGTCATTTTCCCCTCTTTCTTCAATGACATGGGGGGTTGCTTGAAACATAAAAACGGCAATTATTCACTTCATATTATTTATTGTTTATTTTTTGTATGTTTTTCTTCTTTTTCTTGCCTGCTTTCTTGGACACCAAGTTGTTTTTTATGACACTCTTCAAAATGAATTATTTCCATCTTGAATTATGCGTTCGTTCATTTTTTTTTTATTTTTTAGTTATTATTTTTGTTTCTCCTCGTTGCGTCGTGCGATAAGAAATATTTATATGCATTTTATGATAGCTGCTAAACTAAACTATTTTGTTTTTATTTTCATATTTAATGACAATATGTATTTTTAAAAAGTACAATTTTCCCCTAACTTAAGTTAATGGACATTACTTTCCATTACTGAGGGTTTTTATGTCCACAGAAAAATTCATTTAAAATTCGTAAAGGGAAGCCATAAAATTAATATTTTCAAATTTTATGGCCATTTTATGAAGTGGAACACTTTGTTATATTTTTCAATAAAATTTAATAGATTTTATGTAGGGTATTTTTAAAATGTTCTCAAATAAAAAAAGAGTTGGATATTAAAATACGACATATAAGAAAATCTTCTTTTGGTCGTCTAAAAGAAGGAAGTCTTTTACAAGACCTCCGGGTCTTCTACAAGAAGACCTCATTGTCTTTTACAGGAAGACTTCCTGGTCTTCTATAGGAAGACCTCCTGGTCTCCTACAGGAAGACCTCCTGGTCTCCTACAGGAAGACCTCCTGGTCTTCTAAAGGAAACCCCTTCTATGAGAAGCCCTTCCCTGGACTTCTATAAGAAGACCTGTATTTGGACTTCTATAAGAAGACCTGTATCTGGACTTCTATAAGAAAACCTGTATTTGGACTTCTATAAGAAGACCTGTATCTGGACTTCTATAAGAAGCCCTTCCCTGGACTTCTATAAGAAGACCTGTATCTGGACTTCTATAAGAAGACCTGTATCTGGTCTTCTATAAGAAGACCTGTATCTGGTCTTCTATAAGAAGACCTGTATCTGGTCTTCTATAAGAAGAATTGTATCTGGTCTTCTATAAGAACACCTTCTACTCTTCTATAAGAATAACTTTTACTCTTCTATAAGAAGAACTTCTACTTTTCCTTAAGAAGGCATTCTGCTCTTCCTTAAGAAGCCATTCTGCTCTTCTATAAGGAGACATCCTAGTCTTCTACGAGAAACATCTTGGTCTTCTTTGAGAAGACGTCCAGATTCTAGACTATGAAAAGACATCCTGGTATTCTTTGAGAAGACATCTTCGTCTTCTACAGGAAGACTTCCTGGTTTTCTACAGGAAGACCTCATGATCTTCTACAGGAAGATCTCCTGATATTCTTCAAGATTCTATAGAAGACCATCTGCTCTTCTATGAGAAGGCCTCCCCTGGTCTTCTATCAGAAGACCTGTCTCTGGTCTTCTATAAGAAGAAGACTTTCTACTCTTCTATACGAACACCTTCTACTCTTCTGCTTCTTCTTCTGCTCTTCTATAAGAAGGCATACTGCTCTTCTATAAGAAGGCATTCTGCTCTTCTATAAAAAGGAATTCTGCTTTTCTATAAGAAGGAATTCTAGTATTCTTTGAGAAGACATCCTGGTCTTCTAAAGGAAGACCTCCTTGTCTTCTACAGCAAGACTTCCTGGTCTTCTACAGCAAGATTCTATAAGAAGACCATCTGGTCCCTGATCATTCCCTGACCTCTTGGTCTTCTATAAGAAGACCTGTCTCTGGTCTTCTATAAGAAGAACTTCTATTCTTCAATAAGAAGACATTCTGGTCTTCTATAAGAGGGCATTCTTCTATTCTATAAGATGATATCCTGGTCTTCTACGAGAACAATCCTGAAGTAGTCATGGTCTTCTATGAGACGACAATGAAAAGACATCCTGGTATTCTTTGAGAAGACACCCTAGACTTCTATGAAAAGATCTCCTTGTATTTTAGAAGAACGCCTCCTGGTCTTTTTCGAGAAGACATATCCAATTTATGCTGAACAATTCCTGGTCGTCTATGAGAAAGACTGCTATAAGAAGACCTTCTGGTCTTCTATAAGAAGACCTTCTTATAGAATATATAAGAATACCTCCTGTTCTTTTATAATAAGACCTCCTGGTCTTATAAAAGAAGACACCCTGGTCTTCTATCAGAAGACCTCCTGGACTTCTATGAAAAACCCTTTTTTGCTGAATTTTTTTTTTTAATTTTTGCCACAATTTCAACATAAAAAGTCCATAATATATTGTAGGTCTCATAACTCGTACCTCCCAATCAA